AAAATTATTTTTAGTAATCTTAAAGTCTGGGGGCTATGTTCCATTACTCCAGTAAGGTATTTCTACTCTCTGAGATCGTTGTTTAAGGTACGAACATAACCAATCTAGAGCACACCACGAATTCCATACGAAGGTAATTTTGAGAGTAAAATGTCATGATCAACGACGTCAAAAACTTTTGAAAGATCTAAAAATATTCCTATAGGTGCTTCGTTTTGATCCATGGATGAGGCGAAATCTTTAAGAAAAGAAAATATAGCTGTCTTCGTAGATTTTGATTTTCTAACACGCACGTGCGCGCGCACGTGCGTTTCTAGTTTTCTTAAAAGTATGTAATGGTCAATAATAGCAACGGCTTTTGGCAAATCTAAGAAAAGGTCAATGGGAATTTCCTTCTGATTTAGTAAAACAAGTATGGCCATCGTAACGTCGCGTAAGCGTTAGAGTAAAGCATATCCTAAGATCATACTCACAGAAAAAGATTTCCTTCGTTTTTAAACTCGTTTGAATGTTCCATATTATTTATATCATTGTGGTCGATACATCACGAAAGAGTCACGTCCAACTGGTTTTGCATACTGCAATTTCCACAGATAACTTTTTCTAGAAATTCTACTTTTAATAAAATAAAGAAAATGGAATGGAAAACACGCTCCAAATGCAAGTAAACATCTAGGAGTTACCCAATTGCATCATTACCCTTTATTCATTTACGAGTACATAGTCTATATGAAATGACGCACCAGGAATTATTTATTCCCTTCAAAATTGTACAAATATAACATTTATTTTATATCAATTTAACTTACCAAGTTTGCTGGGATAAGTCATGATTCATAATATCCTATTTCGATGCTTGTTACGGCATTGGAGTCAGAATGCACCTCGCCAGCTCGCTATTTCACCACCTTATTTAAATTTGAAGTCGTAGGCTTCCGTGGCCAGAGTCATGTGCATGATCTTGGTTGTCCGGGTGACGCCGCCTCGAAGCTGTGTTGCGGACGTTTCGACCATCTTGTCGTGGTCTTCCTCAGCTATGGGCATACCAGCCCTGTATGTATGGGCCAAAACAGTCTTCGACGCGACGGCACCCGGACAGCCAAGATCATGCACTTTTTTAAATTTGTCCGAAAGTACGAAAACATTTTTAAAATTAGCTTCGGCCTTTTTACTTTGAAAAAGAGATTTACCAGATGAACTCTGTAAAGGAGATAAACATCGTTTTGAGATCAAAAATCGAGTTGTAGGATGAAAGAGCTCGTGCGTTTACTCCGCTCATTCTTTCCGGTATTTGACAACGGAAGATGCAAGGTGGAATGATAACAGAAGACCTTAGATGTAAAATATATCTAAAATAAGATGTAAGGAGATGGAATAATGGTGATATTTACAGAATTAGTTCTTTTTTTTAAAAAAACAGTTCCAAATCGGAATCGATATTTTGAGTAATGTCTCAAACAATTTTAAGATCGTATCCGAAGGAAGACGGAAATATGTGAAAGAAATAGTTATGTACTACTATTACAGACTGTTTACCTCGGTCTGTAATAGTAGTATAGCATCTCTAGTTTGGTATCTGTGGAAAAATAGATTGAGATGCAAAGTGACGAAAGCATAAACCGACAGTCTGGCTTGCGTATCCCGCAAGTCCCGCCTCCTCCGCCGGGGCTGGCCGCACGCCGCCTGGCCTGGCCGTGCCCCCGCCGACAGAGGACCCACAACAATCGTGTGGGCGACGCAACGGCGCAGAAGGGGAAGAAGGGGGGCGAGGTGTTTTCGTAAATTTCACTTTACGACGCTCCTATTCGTCCGATTTGCATGATTGTCACGACATTGGATTTAAGAAGCATGTCGCCATCGCGCTATAAGCCCACATTTTTTTAATTTTTTCTCGGAATGTTGAGAACTAATTTCAAATTCAAGTTTTTTTCTAAATATTTGGAAAAAGGGCTTCGTAGCGTAAATTCTGTTTTAAAAAGGCATCAAATGCCGTTTTCAGATCGAAAATCGGACCATTGGTTCAGACGTTATCAGTAATGTAAATTGCTGCGATCTATTGAATTTTCCTACAAGTAAAACGGTGCATTTAGCCTTAAGAGACATTTTGAATTTGGCATAAAGGACAATTTTCAACGGTGGACAACCAAAAATAACACGAGGAAGGTGTAATTGAAATCAAAGATTTATTTCTTTTAAGTTCTGCCCCAGGTGACATCAACTGAAGCTTCGCCACTGGCGGAGGAAAAACGGGTAATACGGCAAATCGAACCGATTCGTTTCTTTCTCTCTCTCTCCCCTTTCGTTTACATCTGCGTGCAATCTAATCTGCTTTATGTTTCATTTAATGTAATAGTATTTGCATCATGAACGACCCCCGCTGACTCCAATCCAATGTGGATCCTCAAAAACCATTCAAAGGTAGTGCTAGAACCTCTCCAGACCGGATCTTTGCTCCACACCAAGTTGGCAAGGTCAGTGTTTTTCTCGTTCTTCCTTTCTCCGCTCGTGGCACTGAAGACAGTGGCCATTTAACGCACAGTTGAACCCGGCGCCCGCCAGAGACCTCTAAGAGGGCCTCAAAATATTGAATACTGCAACCCGTGTCGGGGGATACCCCTGCTTATGGCATCCCTGGGGACATGGCATTCTGCGAACATTACACCCATGGACTTTTAGGGGTCAGTTCCTTCTGCTCTTCAGGAACTTTTTATCCAATATATCATTTCATGTATGACGATGTATCCAGCGGTCACCCCCTTGTGTTCCTCCTAATTGTCACTGTGTTTGCCATTGTCATTAACTCCATCATGTCAGTTGTACTTGAACCAGTTAAAACATCGCTATTTGTGGACGATTTTGCTACTTTCTGTGCGTACAGAAAGCTAAATGCCATCCAAAGACAGCTTTAACTTGTAATCCTTAATTATTTGAAACCAGTGGCGCCACATGCTTAGGTTGCACAAGCCCCCAGAAAAACGAAAAAGATCATATAATTTGTTAGGAACACGCACTTTCCTTTTATTGAATTCAATATTCAACATATAACGCAATATCTATGTAGGAATCCATTCAATCATTTTGAAACCAAAGAACGCCCAACTTGCACACTCTCCGCCGGGTGGTACTCGTCCAGGTATGTACTATTGCAACATGTCACGCTCTTGGCTCTATTACTGCATTTACTCTTTCACTCTACGCTTCAACATAGAGCCTTCCGTGGCGCAACCAAATGGGTGGTGAATCTTGTCGCCGAGCGCTTTGCGGCGTCCGAGGAGAATACTAATATTCTGTCATCGTCTGGCTAGCTGCAACTTCTTTTTATAAATCTCGCGTGATATTGAAAGTACACATGTTAAGTACACATTATTAACGGTATTGAATGCATTGTTTATGATATTTGGAGGGTTTGTTTCATTTGATAATTAGGTTTGTTGATTCAAAACATTCATTTTCTATGTTCTTAATGTTAAGTTGGCCTTTCTAAAGAGAAGTCCCTTTCTAATAAAAAAATTATATAAGAAACATTAGCTTTTCTGTTTCATAAATGTATAAAATTTTCTATTGTTCCTGATCACTTCAAAAAAGCTGAGTGATCAGGCTAGTGATAGGAAAATTTCAAATAATTACAGACCAATTTCTCTCATACCAAATTTTGCCAAAAGATTTGAAAAAATGTTGAGAAATATATTTGTAGCTTCTTAAACAAAAATAAAGTAATAAATTCTCTGTACTTCGGTTTTCAAGAAAATAAGAGTACTGAAGATGCCATTGAAAGTGTGACAAACCACATAATTTGCAGAAGATACTGCATTAATTCTTAGAGGAAAAAGATATTGATTCAGCTGAGAGAAAAAATTAATATAATTGCTAAATGGTTAAATCAAAATAATAATATATTAAGTGTTCAAAAAAAACACATATTTAACATATGGAAGCTATGAAGATAGCAACATTAACATTAAAATACCTAACAATTCCTGTACTAATAAAAATTGTAACTGTTCAGCAATAACTAGAAAAGAAAGTTATAAATATCTAGATGTATATATTAACAAATATTTAAAATGGAATGGACAAATAACAAATACTGTTAAGAACTTAAGATACTTTATTTATGTATTTTATGAAATGAGATAATTTTTACGTTCTAACCAATTAATGACTGTATGTAATGGACTCTTTTGGTCAGGAGCTACTTGAGGCATAATTGTTTGAGGTGGAGCTATAAAAAAGTGTTTGCACTCATTAGGAGTAATACAAAATAAAATTATAAATATTGTATACAAGAAACCTTATAAGTATCCCATTGAAACTATGTGTAAACAATATAATATTATTAGCAATAGGAAATATTTCTTGAAAATTGCAATACATAATTAAAAATAGAATCAATTTGAAAAATCAATTTAACACATAGAAAAAATAAAAAAGATGACATGTTTATTTGGTGCCTTCAAAAATTAATAAAGAAATCACTAGAAGAACATGTACATATATCAGTTAAAAAGAATCAATTAAAATTATTTAATATATTTCCTAAAGATCTGAAATATTTATGTGGTAGTCAATGTAAAACCAAAAAAAAATTTACCAAATTGGCATATCCAATTACCAGAGATGTTTGTTCAAAATTTATTTAAGCGTGTAATATAAAATGAAGTAAAACAAGTGAACTTGTATAATTTGTACATTATTCATTTGTTTGTGTTCAATTGTATTTTACATTGTAATTATGTTGAGTTTCATATTTTTGTCTGTTTTTCTTATTTTTACTTTACACTACAATTTTATCTCTTGTTTTTTATTTGCTGTATTAAGAATGTAAATATTACTTTAGAGATTTCAGATTTGCAAACAGGTTTTAACCTCTGTGAAGTCCAATATCCTTAAATGAACACATTATATATTACACTGTGCATATTAACAGTGTATCTATAACATAATACACCTGAATCTAATTATTATAAATTAAATTATTATTATAATTTCTGTTAACACAGGATAAAGAAGAGAGGCAAGGAGATAGGAATTTTATTAAAGTGCCTTACGGAGTTTTACCACAAAAAATGGAATACTTTGAACATTGACTTGTAATGTATTGACTTGTAACAAGCAATATGAATTCTTTGGAGGCAAAGGCACCAAACATGCGTTTGACTACTCAATTTTGAGAGGTCTTAACAGTCAGCTTTCTTGAATTTTCTTGAAGACTGGAGAGAACTTTGGAGGGAAGGAAGGATGCAGAGGCATATAATATTTATCTGGCTGGACAGTCCCTGACATGGATGACTTACGAGCAGGAGTGTTCATTAATTGGATTGTAAGATATACTAGAACAGTTTAGAATATTTTTTTCATAATGTAACAGTTTCAATTATTATACTCTTAATTAAAATTTAATTCCATTTATTACAACATGTTTACTTTTTAACTTATTTATTTAGTTTTTAAATTAATCTTTTAAATATTTTAATATGATGTTGCCTTACTAGAATAAAACTAAATAAAAAGAATTATTTCTGTTAATACTAAAGAATTTTTTAGAAAAAAAAATGTCAGCATTAAGTAACACTAAATTAATACCCCCTTTATAACACAGTGAAACTTTGCTTATGAAAAATTATGTAATGCTAAAGAGGGCCCTTTCTCCCTTTAGCATTATGTAATTTATCGATGACCCCTAAATGGAAATTGCAAAATTTTAAAGCGAATCATCTGTCAGACTGCTCTTAAAACTGTTGAAAACTGTTAATTAGGATGTATATCCAACTAATCACGTTACTTTTCTCAAATTTTTAATCTTTAGATTTTCAGCTTCTTGCAAATTCAAGTGCTGAATGCCCTTTTTCATAATTATGAATAAAAAAACACGATAACACTTAGTTTTGAGCAATAATTAAAAGCTTAAAAAATGTTTATTGGATTAATATTATTTCACGAACTCACAGGAAATATTGTGTTTTAAAGAAGTATCAATATTGTAAGGAATAGATCCAGAGATAATGTATTGAGCAACGGTTTGCAGAAAATTAGAGAATAAATACTAAAATAACTAATTAGTTCTGCTTCAGATCTTTTCAGTCCACTTTATATCTTTTACACTATGATGAGTACATATGATATGCTAAGGATGGATGCTTGATTTTGACAAGTTACAAGAAAATATCAAAATACAAAACTGATTACTTGCAACATACTACAACATATTGTATCTTGCGGATTTGTAAACACTTAAAAATAATCTGTAATCACATATAACTCATTAACTAATGCATTTAGACCAAGAACTTTAAAAAATAGTTTTTTTCTATTTCTATAGGTACAGTGGGGCAGATACAAGACAGATGAGGGACATGTGAAGAAATAAAGCAGGGCAGTAAGGGCCCAAATTATGATTCTTAAGCAGTGTTCTACAAAATGAGACCTTTTTGTGTGAACTTTTTATTACTATGAGAGATTTGCTTCTTTTGGGTGCCCCCACTCCACAGCATGCAAGGTCAGAAATGTGCAGATACTTGAAATCTATGTAAAATGAAATTGAAGTTAAATGACAAATAATCTTTCATGATAAAATCAAAGAGACTATTTGATTTTTTGTGCAAATCAATCACGATGTGTAGCAACATTTGAAGTTACTCTCACCAGTACTAGACCCATAATGTTGTAACACACACTTCAGGCTAGCCTTTTGAAATTTCAATCCTGTAGAAAACTGTTTTCACTTTTACTAGTTAGCTTTGCAGCTTGTTTGGATCCAGCGAGTTCTATAAGCTTTAAATGTTTTCAAATGAAGATTTGTGCCACTAATTGCACTTCTAGGGTCTACTTTGTAATTGAACACTGAAATGACAGGCAATATTGATCATTTAAATTTATTTGGTTAGAATGCCTTAAATCTTTCTCCAAAGATTTGGTTATTTACTGGAAAGAAACCGAACGCAAATTTTGAAACTAGAAAAAATTGGAAAAATAAAAGGAAATTGCCAAGAACTTAAAAAATGTGTAGATCTCCCCTACAACTTCTGCCTGGACCCTCCCCAGGATAAATACAATGTTTTTTTGTTTTAGTAAGATAAATATTTAAATAAATGGTGGTCTAGTGTTCTAATGTTACATTATATTGATAAAGTTTGCCATCGTGTTTTTCCTGAGGAAGGGGGATTGGTGTGCACATAGTGGGAGATGCTGCAGGAGGGAAGGCTCTGTAAATTTTGAAAGAAATACAATACAAATTGTGAATCCGGATCTTGCAAGGTAATTTTAAAATAAAATTAAATGAATTATTAATATTCCATCTTCTCAAAATTTTATATTAGATACACCTAATTATCTTATTATAAAAGAAAAATTGCCTGAAAAGTTTAACTAATTGTTTGAAACTGGTTCAAATCCCTTACTATACTAAATTTATCTAAGAACGATCATCTGAAAACCTTGAAAGAAATCTACAGTCATCAGAAGGAGTTTGGTACTACCAAGGTTTAAGATTTATATCTTATACCATGGTCTTACTATCACTGATCTCTGCTATGTAGTAATATAGAATTATATAGATAATGTAGTTATATAGACCATCAGGTGCCTCCAGAATGGAAGGGGTGTAGGCACTAACGTAATTGGGACCTTTTCTTTTCTCTCATTTCAATCATATATCTATTTACTCCTAATTCAAATTAAGCCCTAAAAGATTTTGTTTTTTCCGCACATTGAAACATTAATCCCGTTTATGTGCGGGGGGAACTTAATTTTAAATAACGGACTCCACGGAACAACTACCTCGGACCCCGCGTGTTCTTTGGGCGCCGTATGTATGCATACACGCCTTTGATAAATTGTATTATAATAAAAATATAATTTAAAAAATCCTCGCTATTTTAATATCCCCTATTTATTTAATAGAGACCACATCGTGATAGAGATCAGGAGATGTGAATATGACAAGGCTCTTGATGAAGATAAGTGTGTTTTTCGGTGTTTTTCACCAAATAATAGTAATATGTTAGATTTTGTATGCAAAGAGTAGGCGACAGGATGGTTTTAAAAATAATATAAAAAGTATTTTAATAATATCCTTTCTTGAGAATTTTCAGTAACAGTCGTTAGTGTATGAACTCATATTAAATGTTATTGCAAAATGTTTCAATATTTTATTTAATTAATAGATAGCTTTTTAGAAAATGCATAGTAAACAAGTTTGTTATATTCCTCTGAACAGTTACACTGAAAGGAACGCGACCATCGTTGGCATGGCAACCACTCCGTGAGAAAATACGTAAGCAAACAAACGCTCCCCTCCTTTTGGTCAAACGTCAAAGAGAGCGATAAGCTGTGTTGTTATGTGGCGGTGGTTCGGAGTATCGTGTATGCGTAACATGTTTTGTATAGTGTCAACAATGGTCGAAAAGCATATGAAGTGTATATATTACGGACTTTGTAGTGAATTAGTGCAATAATTTTCGAAGTTCAATGATTTGATCCGGCAGTGTCAAATTTATTTTGCATCATGGCGACGAGATGGAGTAGCGAATTTATTGTTGCCGAACATAGAGATTTACAGGTAAAGTAAATAGTTACTTTCATAATATATGCTTGATTTTGCTTTCCTATGTTTATTGTAGTGGAATGTACCGGCTACGACACTGAAGCCGGTGACAGATGTTACTATTTTTGGTTTAGTGAGATATATTCCCGGCTCGTTCTTGCTAAAAATATTCATTCGATCAGGAACATTTTAGATGCTTTGCTTGTATATTAGATGTTTGGATTTTTTTTTCCCCTTAATTACGACAAAAAAGGAGTTTATAGCAATAATCCGATTCATATTGTTTAGTTTTCAGCTTGTTAGAGAACAATAAAATTAATTAGAAATAGGTGTTAGAAGTAAAATATAAAAACTGTAAGCACTGCACTTTATTATTACAGTAATAAAACTCTTGCTGTATTTATTTGATTATGCTATGCCCAAATAGCATCTCTATGGGATTAAGCATACATTAAATTTGCGTCTCAGTTATTGAATAAAATATCTAAAGTGTCAATTTTTTGACAAAGTACTATTGGGTCATTGTAAATTTGTTGTGCAAGTACTGTTATAAATATTTTGTTATGAATACATTCGATTTGTGCTTCTCGTTTGTATCTCAACGCAATTGATGTATTTCAGGCCAGTGCCATGGCAATTGACTGGACAGGAGTATATGTTTTGTTAGCTGGGTAAGTTTGACTGATGCTTTGGTATTTGCTCTTGTTAATAAATTATTACTGCTTTTTTGGCTTTGCATCTAATTCTTTACTTTTATTTCCCTTTGCTATGTTGATAACCATTTATTTTGATTTAATGAAGTGTTGTTATACTTTGTGTGTTAACTTCCTCATTAATTCATATCCATTTTTTGTGAATGTTTGGATTTTTTGGTAAATATTCACTGGAGGTTGTAGCCCTTGCCCAGTTTGACCTTGACAACCGCTCAAAAGAGAGGTTATCTGTTAAGACCTTGGTGGTGTGCCAAACTAACCAGAAAGTCAGTGTTGCTTTCAGATAATGTGTGTTTCATGTTTAGTCGCAGATTTTTGGCTATTAAGAACTTGAATGATTCATCTGACACGTTACACAAAGTGCCACGGCAAAGCAAATATGAAGTGGGGGCTGCAGAATGGAATCCTAGTTCAGCTAATAAGGAGCTGTGTGCTATCTCGGTAATATCCTTTTAAATTATTATTAATTTCTAATTTATTCCAGAATTTAGCTTACAGATTTTCCGGAAATGGTCACAAAGTGTATTCAGTATAAATAAGTAGTATTTCACAAACAAAAGTAGATTAACCAGTGTATTGTTTACAGTAATTGCTTGGTTAAATGAAATTACAAGTTGCTAGTTTGACAACGTTTCAGTATTTTACGTCATCCTCAGAGCTGATGTACATAACAACACATTGTACCATTGCAATTACAAGAGATATGAGTAATAACAAATTCATCAAACATCAATAAAATCATATTTATTGTATACCCTTCGTGAAAAAAATACTATTTTGAATGACAAACAGATTAACAAAAACATAACTATTACAATAGAGTGGGGTATGATTTTTGGTTTTGTTGATCTTTGATGTATTTATTATTCTCAAATTGCAAATGATACACTTTGTCCATACCATCAGTCTTGAATAATGCATATTGTATGTTGACATAATAGAAAATTGAAATTGTTATCGATTGTATTATAAGAATAAGCATTTATGTTGAGATTATGTTAAATATAAGGCAGAATTGTAGCTTAATAGAAATAAGTAATTTAATACATGAAAACATTTTATCCTTTCCAGAGTGGACAGAGAGTTGAGATCCTTTCTTGGCGTGCTGGCACTGACTTAGTTCAGACACATTCACTACGTTCTCATACTCGTGTGGTTAGTGATCTGAACTGGCATCGCTTTGATCCTAACTTGGTAGCTAGTTGCTCAATTGATACTTTTATCTACGTATGGGATGTGAGAGACCAACGGCGTCCTGTATTATCTCTGTCTGCAGTTGGTTAGTTCTTTATTTATTGGATTTTCTTATTTTAAATGATTGGAAGTTCTTTGAGAGTTGTAACAAATGAGGTTTAATGTAAGTTATTCAGGAAGCATTAGCATTTGTTCTGTGAACTTCTTTAGGTATTTCAAACATTACATTTATGAATCAAATGTAGGTCAAAATTTCAAGAATTTTTAAAACTATACAGATAAAAATTATCAGTTCAAATTCTTTCTTTTTAAGAGTTCTAGTTCTTTAAAAAAATTGATCAAAACACATGTGTTAAAGATAACTACAGCTGTGTTTATATACTCATTTTTAAGCCAGTTTCTGAACATAAAACAAGGCTTCTAAATGTGAGGTAGTGTTATTTTGTTCTGTAAGTGCAACTAATTCAAAAACCATGTTTTCAGCCGGTGCCACTCAAGTAAGATGGAATCGATTGTCTCGGTACCTGCTTGCTTCAGCCCACGATGGTGAAATCCGCTTGTGGGATCAGAGGAAAGGAACTGCTCCCGTCCAGTACATTGCTGCTCACTTGTCAAAGGTAAATTTCAATTAACCTGAAGAAAGGTAATTATCAGCCAAATTGAAAATCAATGACTCCTTTACATTTGCAAAATTAAGATATAGAGTTTTACTGATATAATTGTTAAATGACTGTGAAGAAAGAATAATGTTGCTTGAATAATCATCTTGAAGTGGTTTGTATCATTATTAATGGAAAATGAATCCTACTTCAATTTGAATTTGCCTTTTTAAAACATGACTCTAGATATTGGTGTTAGTTTTGACTCTTTAATCATTACTGTGAAACAAGTTTTTATCACCTCTTATCAGTATTGTTTCTTTAGGGATCCCAGAGTGAAAAAGCATTGATTTGTTCCAGATTTACAGTTTAGATTGGAGTCCTCACAACGAAAACCAACTTGCTACTTCCAGCCAAGATTGCACTGTCAAATTCTTTGATATAACAAATCCTCGGAGGGCAGAAAGCATTCTCACCACTACTTCTCCTGTCTGGAGAGCTCGTTATACAGTAGGTTCAAGCAATATTGTAACATCCCCCTTTTTGTAATTAGAGACTGCTTTTTCATGACTCAAGGAGAAGAAATGAATAAATTGACATTACAGGCATAAACTATAAAGAAAATTCAACAAGAGCTAAATGCATTCTTGTTCTTTTATAAACAAAGTAGAAGCATGATGCATGCAATATTTTTTTGTATAACTTACTAAGTCACTATATTTCTTTATCTAAAATTGCATGATCCAGAGTACCTTATACCCTAATGGGTATTTAGTCAGTACATGTATGTATTTTTTTTTTGACATTCTGAAGCAATTACGCATTGCTGCAAATTGTGTTCTTTCTTAAGCCAGCTGATAAATGCCTCAGAAGTTGCAGTTCAGTGAGTGGTTAGGGGTAGTTTTTATGAGTGATTTTCATAAGAGTATCTTTAAAAAGAATATCACAAAAATTGGATCTTTAAATCAGGGCATGTACAATTTTTTCTAAAATTCATTATTTTTATGTAAGTTTGCATGAAAAATGGCAATTTTAGAAAGGAGATTTTATCAAAAATGGCTCCAAATTTTTTTCTTCTTAGATACAGCAAATAGCTTATAGAAGTAGGGCAGGTACAATTTTTGTTGAAATCTTTGAATTTTTGAAAATTGAAACAGTTAACAATTTTTTCCGTTTCTGCAGTATTAATAATCTACTGCAGCTAAAAACAACTGCGGTACTAAAAATCTAGATTTTCTTTCTTTATAAAATATGCTCTTCAAATTAGATCATTAAATGTCATGTATAATATTTTGAAAGTGTGAGTGGTTTTCTCATTATTTTGAATGAAATAATGACTTTTAAAAAATAAACAAAATTTTCTCAAATGTACTCACTTTCTGTTAATTGTTTACTATTCCATTAAAACAGGATTACCGCTTTCTGGAAAATAGAAAAAATCAGGGAATTGAATTGCTCTGGAAAAGTCAGGGGAAAATCAGGGAATGTGTAGAATACTCGTTAGAAACCAGGAAAAATCTTGAGATGGTTACATAACTATAACTACATTTTATTCCTCAAAAAAATAGTTCTGCAAAAAATAGTAACTTGATTTATATTTAGTGAGATAAAAAAAATTACTTTTTCACGAAGAAATCAGAGAGCTGACAAATTAGTACCAGGCTTGCTTTAATGTTTTTAAAAATGGTGTGAGTTACTCTTCAAAATCTTTTCTGTGAAAAATCAAAAATACGCTGGAAAGCCAGTAAAAGTCAGAGAAATTTGTTCCAGAAAGTCAGTGGTCTCTCAGTAAAACCTCTGCAGTTACAAAAATTGCCAATGTTTAACATTCTTGTTAAAGCAAATCAGTTTGTTAAGCCGACTCTGGCAGTTAGAATGGTGGTTATGTGAACTACTAAATGTATGTCTTTGAGTTCAAATCCCAGCTTGATCAAATACTTTTGTTGGTTCAAGTAGTATTATAATATTATATAAGTATTAAGAAATATTGTTAGAAAGTTCATGCTGTTATTGCAATTCTAGTGAAATATATCATTGAAATCTAGTGTTTGGTGCTAATAAAAAGCTTGTCTCATTCAACTTAAGATTTTCTGAAATTAATAAATGTTATCCTCAGGTTTGTGATTCAGGAAAAATTATTTTATTGAAATGCAAAGTATTTTTGGCAAAAACACATGACATGAACCTAAAAAGTGTATGAAAGAATGTACTAATTTCTTTTGCCAAGTTGGTTTAGAAAAAAATATATTTCAACTTAGGAACCAGAGAGATTCCTATTATATATGAAGTATTCCTACTTCCAATTTTTCTGCATTTAAAAATTAGAACGTGCAGCTTCTCTGTGCTTCTATTTGGCTTACCGAGTTTTGAATCAAGTCATAAGATTTTTTTTCATCAAATAGTGTAATAGAAAATTGGTATCTCAGGATGAAGTAAATTGGATTTAAAATTGTAAATACAATAGTTATTGCTGTGATATTTCATGAAATAATAAGAATATAATTTTTTTTCAGCCTTTTGGAGAAGGATTAATAACGGTTGTAGTTCCACAACTTCGACGAGGAGAAAACAGTCTTCTGCTGTGGAACCTATCAAATCAGACTGCTCCTGTGCACACATTTGTAGGACATACAGATGTTGTATTGGAATTTGAGTGGCGTAAATTATCAGAAGACTCTTCAGAGTATCAGCTTATTACTTGGTCAAAGGATCAGAGCCTAAGAATATGGAAAATTGAACCATTTCTCCAGAAGGTGAATACAGTTGAAACAAGTCTTCGGTCTCTTCTTTTGCATCTAAAGTGCATCTTTTTAGGATTTTGTTTATCAGTGGTATTAAAGAGTACAATAAATGGATGTAGCCATGGGGGACTGTCTTCCAACTTCCATTGTTTCTTATAAAATATCCATAAAGTATATATACTAGCCTTAAATTATACCTTTTTACATGTGTTTGAAATTAACTCTTGTAAAATTAATTCCAAAGGACCGTTTCTCTTCCTCTTCCATGCACCCGGTGTAGTGCAGAGTGGACATTTATCACCTTGCATATGTTAAAAACCTGATTAAGATCAACAATGACAGGAGAACAGTAGATTATGCTTATTGAGTATGCATAGATACTTGTTTCAGAAAAAGAGGAAGCATATAAAAATATAATCACGAAAATTTGCAGAAATTGATAGAAAAGAATTTGATTCTTAAAGTATACTTTTTGTAAATTTGTTTCTAAAAATTTAATATAAAAAAAGGCAATAGAATGTTTTTGATTCCTAAAATATTACACCTTTTCATTTTAAGAAAATGAAAGCTCTTTTTATCAATGCCTTATAAAAGAACAACTTGATTGTTAGGAAAAGTTTAATTTAATGCTAACAATTTTAATTACTTATTGATGTTATTTAATTTATAATTAATGGTAATTTTTTAAATTACCAAATTTATCCAACTATAAATCAACTTCAAATATAAGATGCCTCTTTAGAGTATTCCCTTCTGTGTTACTAGTTTTCAGTTTTTCGTCTGTCTTGTTTATAGCCTCTGGTGTTTTTAAATTCTTACTCTCATTCTTCATCTGAATGTACTTGAAATTCATATCATTTAATGTTCTTGTGATAGAGTTTTGCATTTTAAACTCATACATACTCCATTCCTCCATTTAACAAGTAATGTGGGAGGTAGCGACAAGTTTATTAAGTTTTTGCTAAGATAATAAATCATCCATTTCTGTGATAGAATGCCTCTTGAAAATGTGAATTTGTTTCCGGGAAGACGTTTATAAATAAAGAAGTAAGGCAGGGAGACAAGTCTTTAGCCAACACTCTTTAACATATATCTGGGATATATAATTAAAAGGTGAAAGAATGTGCTGCCCTCAGGAATTCACCTGGGCGAAAAATTCAGTTTTAAATACTCTTATATTCTGATAAGCAGGTGTGTCTGCAGGAAAATGAAGATTATTTGTAAAGATCTATTTACCATCTGGAGCAAATTTTTATAGAGTACAATCTGATAGTATCAGTTAATAAAACAAAAGTAATGGCTTTTTAAGGAAATGAATCAATAAGGACAATGACTGTGCTTCAAAATATGGAACAAATGATGCATTTTAACTACTTAAGTAACTAACATTCGAAGGCCAAAAATGAGAGGGAGGCTAGAAAACGCAATATGCCTAATCCGTAAAGGAAGATGATGAGATATGTTAGATATTTTCAATGTCTTTTGTACTTATTGTAATGCTAACATTTACGAGTATCCTGACATTCAAAGGTAATTTAAAAACTAAATCCTAACTAGGCTTAATCTGCGCAAAGAAGATGTCCCTGTATTTACAACAGTTGGTCATAAATGACATAACATAATTTAATATAACATGTGTTTTGTTGTTGTTGTTGTTGTTGTTGAAAATGTAAGTTACTTAAGAGCAAACTTAATTTGAAACTTGCTTTTTGTAAACAGTTGTGTGGTCACGAACCTGAAGGAAAACATCCTCCAGACATCCAGGAAGCAGAAGAAGCCACTTCCAGCACCAGGACTCCTCTGGGTAATTCTTTTTAATATGTCCATTATCCATGGAAACAGGAAGAAATCTGTTACATAGGATATACAATGCACAATGGGGTTTGAGATTGTAATCCCTCTGGCCCACTTTCTCTCTTTTAAAATTTTGAATAAACCTTTTGCGATATATTAATTATATTGCATAGAAAGAGTAGTGTGTCATATTGCATGGGAAGTTTCAAAATTGTCTTAACTAATGTGAAAAATGCAACACTTGTGTTTGCACATGTCAGACATCCTAAAATTAAAAAAGTTTCTTCAAAAATGTATATTACAGTAGTGGCAAAAATTATTTAATAAAATGATTATTAATACGAAGAAAATTTGCTAGTAACTTGAAATAACTAATCCTACAGATTTCTGAGTCTTTTGAATATTGAGAAAAGCTTGATACCGTTCCCAAATTCTTTAGTTGACAAGGGAACTACCAGTTAGAGAAAAGAAAAGATACAGTGATTAATATGAATGGTTTGTAACCAATGGACATCAACATCTAAAAGAGCACATGTTCTGATTAATACCACCAAAAAAATTCCATATGTCTTGTTTTTCTTCAGCCCTAAATTCACTCAAGAAAAAACCAAATCCAAAGCACTTGTCAATATTGTTTGTATGTGATAAATAATTCAAATTGTTCGAAGTATTAGATGCCTTGACCGGGAATTGTACCTGTATCTTGTGTTTAATGCCCAGTTGTATGTATTTGTTCCTACCAAACAGCAGTGCTCTTATGTATGAAATAAACTCTCAGCAATTTTATTGCCAACAAATTCAGCAACATTTTGAACACCCATCTATTTTAATATTGCATTCAAAACCTATCTTTCTGTCAAATGGTAAACCATTATTACCATTTATAAACCATTGAAACTGATACACAAGTTCAAGTGCCATGTAAAATCGTTTCTGCTGCATAACTGTTTCTACACAATTACAGAATATGTTGAGCATCTAAAAAGAAAGTAATATTAATTTTAACAATGATATTTAATGTATTAGTTACCATTTAAATTATATAATTTTAAAAGGCCAAATACGCTCGTAAAAAATTTGTCAGCTTCTGGGCCAATGGCCCCATCTCAACCAGGTTTTTCATCCAAATTTAATTAAACAAATCCTGCAGTTTAAAAATTATAATGGATAATTTTTTTTCTCTAACTATGGTCACCCCTGTTAGGAGCCTTTTAAAGAAGAGTTCCTTTAAAAGGTGACAGTCCTTTGTCTGTTGAGAGAGGAAGCATGTGTTTATAGAGGTGATGTGTTATGTTTGTAGTGGTGGAGCCTGCAATGAGCCATCCTCTGCAAGTACTGCCCCATGAGAGCTCTCCTTCCCTCACGCCCACGCCTAGCCCCGCCCTCAATGGCTTGCCCCCGCAGGCAGAAGAGGCCATCTTGGCTGAGCCCGAGCGGACTTTGGAGATTAAGGAACCGGAGGTGAATCCTTCTCCCACCCAACCAAAAACCCTGCAGCAGGAGTTCTCTCTCATCAACACAAACATTCCCAACATTCAGCTGGAAGCGGTAAGTTCTCACAATTTAGTCATATATTTTCCTTTTTATGGTAAAAATTGGACTATCCCATAGAAAACAGAATTTTGAAAATATTATATATATATATATATATATATATATATATATATATATATATATATATATATTCCATCTGTCCATTATTGCATTGTGATGGTAATTTAGAGGAATGTAAACTCTTGAAGTTAAAAATGATGGTGAATTGCAAAATGGTGAAATAAACTACCAGAAGACTTTAATCACTGAGAAAAATCCTTGTTAGTGGCAAAATGCAATATATAATTCATTTAGGTAAAATTTGAAAAATAATCCAACAATTTTTTGCAAAATAATGATACCTTATACTGTTCAAGATCATATTCCCAGAACGTTTTTGGAGGGAAAAAAGCAAAGAAATTCCCAAATTCTCATTTGGATTCTTTGTAACTTCAAACAGTGTATCATCATCACCAACACCACCACCAGAACCACCTTAGGTGTAGAAACTGTCCTGGCTTAAATGAGAAGAAAAGCTGTATTCTTTCATGCAGTAAAGTATTCCTTCTGATGTTGATAAGCCTGTAGATATTTGCTTTCTGTACTAGAGTGAAATGTTATTTTCCTAGATCTTCACCATCCCCAAGCTTTTATATAGATTGCTTCTTTAACTAAACTGTTTGTGGCTCTAATGAATTTTTATCCTTATTGTTCTTCCAACCATTAAAAAATTGTTCACTGCTGAAGATGATGATTTACTTCAGCTGAAGACATCAATTTGTATTTGTTTTTTCACACCATTCTGAAACTGAAGTTCCATGTACTCAGAGCTTTTGAAATATGAGAAGTCATCAATTCAGAAAACTATCGAGATTATATTACGGTGTTATGCATCTTGTGATTGTGTCACTGAAAAAGAACATAAATATTTACCGGTCACTTATTTCTTACAGTATTACTGAAAATATTTGATTTGCATATATTGAATGAATCTTCTTTATGTTTGCAATTGTAGGTGGATTTGGTGAGAAGAAGCTGCACCGTAACTGCTACCAGAAATAGTCATATTGTTATTTTGTTGGTGAGCTTTCCTCCCAACTATCCCTATAATTCACCACCTTCCTTCCAATTTGGTTCAGGTACCTCAGTTGACAGCAATGCCATAGCCAAATTGCTAAAGGTAAGAATTGCCATAATTGAATACTTTTTTATTTTTCTTCTGATTTTATTTATTTTCTTATTTTGAGAAACATTCTGTAATTGTTAATAGTAGGTAAGCCTTTAAAAATACTACCTGTAGTTTGAATAATAGTATGACTTTTCAATAGAATATCATTTTATATGTGAAGTGGATTTTAAAAACAAATCTATTTCTAATAAAATGATACAGGTATTAAATACTTGTATTGAACATTCTTTGTGTACTGTTAGATTTTGTTTTCATATACCTATGCTAGGTATACAATTGTTTTGAAATGTATGTAATTTTATTAATGGTGTATGGTTATTTTGACTTTTTTAAATATATTTATTATGAAAATATCGTTTATCAAATTGTATTTAAAAATTACTTATCTATACATCAATACAAATAAGTAAAGTTGGTTTTGAGGGTGCTGCCAACACACCTAAGTAAGGAGGTAAAACAATTTTATGAAAAATTCTTTTATTAATAATAATAATTGTATTCATCCTAAATAACAAAATAGCTACTTGGAAGATATCAATTACATAACCTCCCATGTAAATAGAAAAATCACAAGTAAAGGAGCTCTTTTTTATTTTTTTAAATGTATATGTTTCATAATTTTTTGTATCTACAGGCACTGAAACAAACAGCGCAACAGCGAGTGCGAAAGAATAAGTCCTGTTTGGAGCCATGTCTAAGACAGCTTGTGTCCACATTGGATCAGGTACATTTCCTAAAAGCATATTTTTAGCATTGTAAATTAATTACTAACATGAGATAAATTATATTATATAATCTTTGGTGATTATTTGAATTGAGGCAATTTAAAACCTTTCATTCAAAATACATGACTTCTAAATTGTGGGGATAAGTTAAACAAATCATTGCAATGGGCTGGAGCTCATAGATTCACGGTATGCATTGCGTATTAGTAAGATGATACATGGAATAATTGAATAAGAGAAGACACATAGTCATACTTATGTCTGGCACTGAGATCTGTTACGCCATGTAAATATTTTGAAATACAGCCAAATATGAAGAAAAAAAAATTGTAGTACGATATAAAATATGTAAAATGAAAATGGTTTAATTCATGCAGAATCTCTTGCAAGCTCTAAACAAAATTATTTTGTGCACGTATCTTGTACGTGTCGAAATCTGTATTTACATTTAAATTTGTTTCCTAGTTGTGAATAACTATAATTAAAAAATTACATTTATTTTTAAATTCACCATATAAATGTCATATCATTTGGGTAGTACACTTTAAACTTCCCAAAATTTCCTAGTTGAATATATCAAGCTACATTTTTTGAAGCTGTTTATGCTAATGCACTGATGGAAACAATGAATGAATGAATCAAAGCCTTATTTTACGTGGCGAGCACATTGTTTATTTCTATTTCTGTGTACTAATCTCTTGTTCATCCATTAAAGGCTGTTACGGGAAGGAAGCCATATAGAAATGTACAAACGGAAAATTTAGATAGAATGCAGAGAAGTGTGTTAACTTATTTTCCAAGGCAATAGGAAGACAGTAGAATGAGAGTCTATTAGGAGGGTTAAAGCAAGGCTTTGTGCCCATTACACAGCATATTCTGGTTATCCATCTTGCAAAGATTTCTGCATCCAACTCGGAAGACTTGCATACTTCTGTAGAGGGGATCGCAAGGACCAAAATCACTTCAGTCACAGGGATCAGATATTGGGAAATTTTTCTTTACAAATAGATCAATAGCAACTGCAATAAATGGCTTGCAACCCTGATTCAAGGTGTTCAAAAGTTTAAAATAAATTAAATAATAATATTTGGAAAATTTATTAATTAGTAAATTAGTCTTATTAAATATTATTTTAAAATAATTTAAAGTTGTTTTGTATTAATAACCCTAATTGTAATATTTGTAAAGTGTAGTGTTTTGCCATCTGATAGCATTAACCTATTTGCATAAATAATCACTTTTTAATTCTGTTTAAAGATTGCCCTTGGTGAAGAAGACAGTAAGCCTTTCTTGAGGCTTAATTCTCAGCCATCTTCCTTTCTTGAGTCCAATAACATATATGGCAGCTTCCAAGACGCTTACATTCCTTTTCCACGAACATCAGGTGCAAAATTCTGTAGCGTAGGTAAGAAAAATTTTGAGTACTATGTAAATATTTTGTTTAAATGCCTTGTATTGTCTTTAACTTGTGTTATTTCAAACTTTTTAGGACTGTTTGTCTGCTTTGGAAGACCATCTCTGGCACGACGGACATCAACAAGATTGGATAGCCCCACCCCGCGAGCATTGTCGGCTCTGGGTGGTAATTTATCTAGTTTCACTTTAAGTGGATCGCCAACAGGAAACTCGCAGTATTCCCTTATGTATTCATCAGTGGGTCAGGGTTCTTCTGCTGATGCACCCATGTCTATTACATCATTTTATTTCCAAGATCGAGTAAGTTATGTTTCCACAAAACGTCTGGAAGCATTCCTCCTTCTTTTCTTTTTTTATTTATTGTTTTTCAGGCATTAGTAGTTGTGAATCTAGAGAGTATTTTTATGGCGTTTGAATAATTTTGTGCCTGAATAATACTCGGATAAATAATTTGTTTTCCAGATTCTTTATTTATGTGTATTTGTATACATTTCATATATCCCTGCTGTCTGGGTGTGTTTTCACAATAGTAAAATATTTAGGCACTGCATTGGAATGTATTGTAATTCATCAGTAATTATTTTTGCATAATCGTACATCATTTTGTTTCAGGGGAAATTATTTAATTATTGTTTTTGTAAGAGAAAATTATATTTGGACTTCTATTTGTTTTGAGTCTGTTTATTTTTTATAATTGTATTTTTTTTATTTTTACTTGATATCAGTAATGCTCTTTTCATTTCAGAAACCATCGAGATCTAGATCTCGGCCTGTCCATGGTTCTTCGAGAACCGGACAGGCATCATCTTCAAATACTCCAACAAAAAGAAACTCTAAAGCTGTTGTTACTGTGTATGATGTTTCATCATTATTTTTTGTTCATCGTGATTTAGGAGAAAAATATGTGTACGTATAAATATTTATTTATAGTTTTCAGTCAGGTATATAATCATAATCCTTCTATTTAACTAGTTTGCAGTTGAAGCTTTTGTTATGAGTTCGAAAGCCACTTATTTACCTCAGTATAAATTTGCTGACTTACTTTCCAAATGGACATGAAGATTTCATTGCAGGCTTCCTTTGCAGAAAATTGAAATTCAAGCTTTCAAGCTACATAAAAAATTATTTTGCTCTATTTTTGGGCCTTAATTGAAATATTTATCTATTCAATTGTAGAGTTAAAAAGTAATTGTGTGATTTTTCTCTTGTCTGAGATACAAATTGTTTTGTTTTTCTATTATTTGATCAATGCATGTGCCAGGTTTTTGAAATTGTGTTATATACAGGTTTGATTGTCGTGATGTGCCAAGTATGTGTCATCGAAATGCAGCAATTGCTGCAACTGTAGGCCGACGTGACTTGGTCCAAGCTTGGACTTTAGCAGCTCTGGTAGCCACTCCAGGATCTCAGTTACTCCCGTCAGAGCAAGATGAGGACACACCATGGCCTAGTCACCCGTTTGGAAAAAACCTTGTGGAGGCACTGTAAGTTAAAAGATAACAACAGAGAAGTGAGTTTTAAGAGTATTGTGTATGTAGTCCCTTTTCTGAGTTTTTGTTGTTGAAGCCCCTGTATTCCTTAAATTCAATTTGTTATCGAATTTTATGTAAAATTTTTAAAATTATTTTGATTAGTAATGTAGATTTTCTGATGTTCATGAACATTTTCATGACCTTTTTCTTCACAAATATTTAGAAAATATTAATTTTGTGTGGTATTTTAAATTTGTGTAATTTCTCCTGCTATAAAATTTGTAGTAGTCCTATAGTTTGTATAATTTCAATATCATATAGGTATGCAAATACCCTCCTTTTCTGGCAAGTATGTTACTATTCTCTACTAAGGTGTAGATCTCCTTTGTGCAAATATTGTATATTCTCTTCTTTCTTTCAATTTCAGATAAAAAATGTATTAGTGTCTAAATATTGTTGATTATTATTACATGTGTCAAGTGGGTTCTGTAACTGAAAATGTGGTCATTATGTTGATTCTAATTGTATAAATATTTCAATGTTTTTGTTGTATTTCATTATCTTGACTATAATTTTCATGTGTTTCATATATATTTGTTTTTGAAATCTTCTACAATGTAGTAAAAAAATTTACCACAAGTGTTGTTCATAAATGTTGATCTGTCAAAAAATGTTCTTGTTTGCATTAATAGCAATGTTTGTGAAATATTTTTCTTTCTTTATAAAGTAATTGAAGATTAATGTTCTGGTGAGTGGACAAAGTGCTAAAAATTTGTAAATTTCTTGTGTTTCCAAATGTAACGCTGTTTTCAGAATTGCTCATTATGCCAAGCAGTCAGATATTCAGATGGCAGCTATGCTATGTTGCACATTTGGATGTCGAACTGAAAATCAGGAGTCATTCAAGAACAAGAATTTAAGCAAATCTGTTAATGTTAGTGTAAGTATACTCTTTTGTTCCTTGGGTGTTTACTAATTGTTTTCAGTGTATTATCAGTAGATAACTTGGCACTTTTGATGTTGCAAATTTTTAAAAGATCCCTAGCATGTTTCAGTATTAGAAATGATAATAACACAGAAAAGTAAAGGAAAATTTGAAGTGGATGGGTTTTTCAGCATTTGTAAGAAATGTGTGTTGTGTGTTATGTAAAGCACAAGGTGAGTCATATGATGAGATAAAGAGGTTATTTTTGGTAATTTGGTAAGGTCTTGGATGTTGGCCAAAGGATGTAAATGAATATATGCAGGTACAGTATCCTAATGCATTGTTGCAATGGCTCCTTTCAGAATTTGATGCTGTTTTAGGTGAGCATTTGCATTTTATCTTATTCCAGCATCCTTGCCTCCTGTGATGTCTATGTTTCTGCACCAGAGTTCACTTCTTTTGCATTAATAGTTGATTTTATTTATTAAATAAGCTACAAGAAATGCATGAGTAAATCATTTTTGAGATTGTTGACATAAAGACACTTAGGTTGCTGAAAACAAAATTATGTAGTACATTATCCAGGTAGAACACACTTGAATGTGTTGCCTTAAGGCAAAAATCTTGCATAGATGTGAAAGTCTACACTTGTACATATAACACCAAAAGATTTGGTTCTTCTTACTTATTTGCAGATAGCAGGTATTTTGTCTGATTCTTCTCTTAACATCTTGGAATATTATGTAGCCTTGGTAACTGGAAAGGCTAATCTTGTATTGCATGAGTTGGATTGATTAATTCTTGTTTTCCCATTAATGTCTTCATTTGTGTGTTAGCACACTACTTCCAGTTGTAAATAGTGTATTATGACTAACATCTGATTAACCAAATTTACTGAATATTATATTTTGTTTTTAATTTATTTTATGGAGTATGAATTAAATGTGAAATCAGATAATTCATTATTTAGTTATTAATGTTCACTCCAAAAATTTTTCAATATTGTGGCTCTTATGACTGTGCTATTATTTTAAGTAGCAGACTTGTAAGTATAACAGTATACAGAGTGCATTAAGTCGTAAGACCAAATATAATCATACATGAAATACTTGAATATATAGCTATATTTACCGTATTTTGTATGCATTATTACAGTTAGTGCACATTACATTTGTGTAGTTCTAAGATAACTCGTGCCACTGGTTAGTGATGTGGCTTTTCAGTTAAGGAAGCATTTTCTTTTCTCAGTCAAAGAAAAGATTTGATTTTATCTGTACAGCTTATGCCTTGACGAATTCTCGATTAGGACTGATGTGTTTGTTTTGTTATTATAGCGACTTGCAACTGGGAAGTGGTGGCTCAAGGTAAAGTATGGGTGCTTTATCACTAACACAAATGGAGGGTTTCCATATGTTTTCTCTATTCACTTTTGCAAGTTGACCAAAAGTCAAAACTGGATCAAAGCATAGTTCCCTTACCTTCTGCTCGTAGTGGCATGCTTCAGGCTGGAGCATCTGCTTGCTTCCCAAGGCTAGCTGGTTGTTACCCTTGACAGTCATCTTGTGCCTGAGGCCATGTTTCTGGTTTACCTCGTAACTGCAGAACATCATCTGCTCTCCCTTCTCCTCTGTGTCTGCTTACTATAATGTGGCTATTGAGAGTTTTATCTCGTTATGTGTTTTTCATGTCGTGTTTGCTTGATCTGAAGAATTATATTTCCAATAGGCATGAGTTAGAACAACAAGATATGGCACCCATAATCTGATGAAAAATGAGACTTCGCAGAGCATTCACAAACACACTACAGTAAAAGTAATTAAATAGTAATATTTGGAAAACCATTTTACTTTCAATTACCCTATTAAAAGTTCTTATATCTTTGGAATTGTCATCTTTAAATGTAGCTAAGGGTTGCCATGTCATTTGCACTTGTTATATTTCTGCTGTTATTAACCGAATAAAATTTGGAGAGGTGTCTTCAAATATCCTTTATTTTCAAATATTTATTTCTCTTTTTTCTCATCTCTATACACCTATTATGAATCCAAATTCTACAATGCTTAATCTCCAGCACCAAACAAATATCAATATCATCAGCGGAATCGTTCTAACACGTATGTGCGTTTTCTTTCCTGAAAGGAAATTATATTATTGGAATATATATTCTGACGGTGAGATGTGTCAAGAGCCACTAATAGTAGTTTGTTATGTCTATAGAAGCATTATTCCTGCACATCCTGATGGCATTGTGCTTTTAGTTTGTGCTGTCTGCACAGCTTTAATGATTATTATTTGCTCACAAAGAAGAAACCCTGGGCATTACGATTTGGCTACAAAAAATCAACTATGGTGTTAGATGGAAATTATTAAGTACCTCACTTGTCCTCTATATCTACCATTGCATGGTCAGGTAATTTCTGATCTCCTGTTTTTGGGTTTTAAGAGTACATTTGCTATCTTGAGCAGAATTTGAAGAAAATTATTAATATAGTGGACAAGTGAAATTAGCATCAGTTTCGTACTAGTTGTCAGTTTAACATGGTTGCCTTAAAAGTGTGTTCCCTTATTTGATTGTGATATTCCTTTGGCTGGTTTGGTAAGTGCCCTGCCTTCCTGGGTAGAATATTAAGTTGTCTGTTTGCTATAATTGCATTGTTTCTGCTCTTGTTGTGAATACTTATTTTTAATTATAATATTCGACTCTATTCCTCCTCTTTTTCTTTATTCATTTGTATGTTTCTGCTGACTATTCATACTGAATGAATGTTATAATGTGTACCAGCATGATTAATCATGTTTGGAAATGAATAACTGTTTTAAAATAGCTCTTTGTCAGGTACACTAAAAACATACTTGCCTTATGAAAATTTCAGGTGTTTTGGGTTTTCATGTTTTAATCGTAGACTAATTTTCTGTAAAACCTATTCTTTAGGCTGGTTAGTTACAACCAAATGCCTTTCTTGAGCATGAGGACCACAATGTATTTGGTTTCCTTGGTCTAACACCTCTTTAAGAATGCTTTTGTGAAGTTACAATGGTTTGTTAAAATGCATAAGATACAATTCAGTGGGGGAGCATGTTTTTGACAGGACCAAAGACTTTCACATTTGCAGAAAGCTTTTTAATGTTTATAGACAAACCATTGTATTGATGTGAAGGCTCACAAAGTTCTTGCTAGGTGTACACATGATGAAACATTTGACTGCAGCTTAGAATGTTTGACTGGTAGAAGCTTAAGCCCCTCTGTGAAGTGTGTGGTTAGTAGATCTGCCTGGGCTAATTTAAATTGAACAGCCAAACTGCGAACAATGCAACCACCTAGATTCTTGCGACACTAGGTAGGTGTACTCTGTACTGGGGTTCATTATGTGTAGGAAGAAAAGTGTGCTTCTGTGCTGGTGGATTTGTTCGTGGTCGGGCTTTTTACTGTTGGGCTCCCTTTGTAAATGAAAAAAAAAATGAAATGAACCATGTTTCAATGCTGTGGTCTCAAATACCTTCATTAGACAAGGATATTGTGGTAGCAGTTGATGTTAAAAAAATTAGTAAATTAAATTTGTTCTTATGAATAGATCTGCATTTCATATCATTAGTGAGGCAATTTATTTTGCTTTTGTTAAATAATGTAGATTAATACAAAACTTCATTTTGTGTAGGATAAAATAATGAAAACCTAATGAGTTAAAAATATCATTAAAACATTTTTAAAATGATGCTTTTTATTTTAATTTTTTGCCTTTGCAAGATATTATGTTATGGAAAAATAACTCGTGTAATGTCTAATTTTGTTGGACATTTTTGGAGGAGCTAGTGGTTATAAATAAAGACTTATTGATCATTCGAGAATGTTTTGGTGTTAAGAATTCTTCTTTTTCAGCCTGGTGGATCTCCATATCATACAATTCATCAAGTGGATACTAGCCTGGAGGGCTGGAACTACCCAATGCTCAAACAGAATCGGTCCAATTCTTGGTCTGACTCATTGGACGATTTCAAATTTAATTCAATAGTTGAGCATAGGGAATTCAGTGACAGTTCTGACAGAGAGAAGCCTGTGAAGTAAGTACATAAACTATAGAATTAAGAAACATCTTCATTGTAAGTAGATATGGAGCTTCACAATGAACTTCTTCTTTTATAGAAATTCAGGTCCTTGCAAAATGTTAGATGAGAAGAACACCTTTCTGTATGATTCCTATAAGAAAGCTTATGCAGAAATTCTGTACCGATGGAATTTGTTAGATGCACGTGCTCAGGTAGGAAAGTTAATGTTATTTAATTTGTTCCATTAATGTAACAAATTAAATAACATTAACATAATGTTTTTAACACATTGAAAAAATTTTAAAGGAGCATTTGAGGAACATTTAAAGACAAATGTCACTCTCTATCCAAAGGTGCTGAAATACTTATCTTCTGCTCCTGAAACTCATCGAGGAGTGGAATTCTTTACTGAATGCCGATTTTGTAGTAAGCAAGTGCGTGGTGCCAGTTGTCCTTTCTGTAAACGACTTAGTCTGCAGTGTGCTATCTGTCATGTGTCAGTTCGAGGTTAGTAAACGTTTTACTTTCTCCAATACGTAATGTACAGAAAGTTATGTAAAGCTGCAAAAAATCAATCTTGAAATTTTGATGAGAATACACATTTTAGGTTTCTTTAAAACTAAAAAAATATTTTTCAAAAACATCTGTACAAACAATACCAGCACAAAAACTAAACAGGATTTTTTTGGAAGTGAATATTGTCAAATCAATTGGGTGCAAATTTAGCTTCAACAAATTCAAACATATGTGATTATTTTAACGATTACTTGCTTTGAAGCTCATAGAACATTTCCAATATTATCTCCAGAAGGCTACAAATTTGTTGTTGAGTTGTGTTAAGACCACTTATGAATGCATCATGGCACTCCAATCCCTCAGAAACTCAAAGCAATGTGGATTTCCCCAAAACCCTATTTCTTTCACTCCTAAACAATAACAACAACATTAAGGGGGATCCTTTCCTTACATCACAATCTCCGAACTATTACTGTTTTCATCTCAAATACTTTTGAGGCAGATCCGGGACATAATTCTCTCTCCATCTCTCCTTGGTGCATTGTATAGAGAGGATGATTTCTTTAAAATCTTGGGTACTAACAAAAAATTGAAGAAGATACTTCTGTTATTAGAAATATTTTGGTGAAGGTGAAGGTATATTTTGTTGAGCAAAACAAAAAATGAGGAAATCAGAGAGAATGAAAGTAGTCAAGCTTAAGCAACTGAATCATACAAGCACCTAAGAAAGTAGTCAGTCATTCACAAATCGATAAGTTGATATCCAACCTTAGAAGATATAGAGGAAAATCAAGAACATAATATAATGTGACAATAGCACATTCATCCCGAAGAAAATAAATGTAATAAGCAGATTTATTGACAATATGATTATCATGATCGGAAATTATTTCACAAATGTACTCCTGAATCTGAAAATTGCACTCATAAGGTAGAATTCAACTCATTTGAAAGTTAATTAACATTATAAACAGTTGTATAATATCAGCAGATACACATCTCACACAATTTTTTTTGCAAATAAATAAATCAGGAGCATCTTCATTTATTAAATTTATATTACTATTGTACATTTTTAATTTCCTTGGAAAGACAGTTTTCATCACTGAAGTTAGCTGGTCTTACAACTTCTAAACTTTCTTGGTTCTGAACCATTCATTAAAATCTCATTGCATGTTTAATTAAGCAAAAGTTGCACATTAAAATGAAATGGTCTTTTCATTGTTCAGGTTCCTCAAACTTCTGCCTTGTGTGTGGGCACGGAGGTCATACAAATCATATGATGGCCTGGTTTGAAATAGAGACAGTATGCCCTACTGGTTGTGGGTGCAATTGTCTGGAAGAGACAGCTGGAGTGCTATTCCCCTGAATGATTTCTAGATTTAGTTAATTAATATTACAAAGAAGATAAGTTCTACAATTGAAGAGACAGATGTTCTTAAAAGTTGCAGGATATGTCATTTTTCTTTGAAAATAATTCATATTTTTATGGTGATATTTTATGATACTTACAGAAGCATAGAATGAGATAATTTGCTTATGGAATGAGATCTCAAGTCAGGAAAAAGGAGATAAAGCATTATGTATTAATTGTTACTTTTGTAACATAAACCGATAAAATTAAATAGCTTGAAGTTAACACTGAGCGAGGAATATTGACAGCACGTTGCTTCTTATGGATTCACATTGCAAATTATTTTTCCATGCATACTGTGATATACTGAAATGAACATTTTTCTTCACAGAAGACATAGAGCATGTGCTGCAAATTATTGTTCCTTAAATTCTCCCAAAGTTTCAGCATATTGGAAAAAAATGTGCTTCTAATTCTTGTGCTCGTTATTATGAGCAGGATAATCTTATCTAGTTCCTATTTTTTGTGTCAATATGTTGATAAGAATGTTCTGTATATTTGCAGATCTTATTGTACAAACATTTATCAAGAGATTTATTTATTCCCCCTCCATGTAACCTCATATGAAAAAGGATAAAACACTTTTTTTATACTGACAGTTACTATCAAATTTATTAAAATGTTGGTGAAAGAAGAATTATTTTACTTTCTCCTTTTCATGAAATATTTGTATAACCTACAAGTCACCCTTAAAGAGTAACTGGAGCATTATTTTTTCATATTCATTGAGGGTCTGCTAAAAGATAAACAAATGAAGTATATAGTAAATTCTTTTTGTTTTCATATGTTCATTTTTTCTTACAATGCCTAACAGGAAGGAATTTTTTCCAGTTTTATGTTAAAAAAAATCCCTGGAACTTTTTGTTAGATTGCAGGAGCAAGCGGTAAATCTGTCTGTGCAAACAGTAAGATACTTGTGTGAATACAGAAATGATTTGAGTATTGTCTAAATTGAACCTTTTGTCTTTATCATTTACTTCTTGAAATAATCCTCCATTTTAATTCAAATAGAAATTTAATTATGTCTTATTGAATTTTAAGATATATATTTTGATTTATGATAAACATATTTGTATAAAATTATTATATTATTAATATGCTAGCCCTTGTTCCTTAGTATTGTATAGTATAGTGAAGTTAATTTTGTTATCTAAACTTTCTACATTTCTTTTAAAGATGTAGAACTAATGTAACACTTTTTTTATTGTAAATGTTACGTATTTGTTGTAAAACAACCTATGTTAACATATGAGTGGTTTTTTGTAGACCAGTTGTTCAGTATTGTTTCTTGTGTTAATGTAGAAAGATAGAAAACTATTCTAGTTAAATTATTGAGCAATATAAGACTGATTTGCTTTGGTATTCAAGTTCTTTAGATAATTGGGCCCCATTCTGAACAAGATAAACATCAGCAACATTTTGTGCCATTTAAAATTAATTTTGTGCTCAACATACTCTAGTGTTTAATGTAATGAGCTTTTTTGTTGATAATATTTCATTGATTTGTGATTATATGCAGTGATTTCCAATACCATTTATTATTTGGCACACTACCTGAAAGGCCCAGTCAAATGATCCACTGAATTTATGTATTTCATAAAGGCAGCAATCTACACATGTCTATTTTTCTTGCCTTAGCCCTGCTTCAAATGGACTGAAGAAATTTTATAACGAAACTCTCTAATTGAAGAGTGAAATTTTGTAGTTTTATTGAATTTGATGAAGCATCACTTCCTCATTCTTGTTCTCATTCGTGTCTGTTTCTAATCAGTAGGGACCAAATTTCGAAGAAAAATGCATATTTTTCCCCCTTAGGAAGTAATTATGCTTACTTAGAATATGCTTAGAACATCCAAAATCTGATTGTCTGTACATGATTTTGTGATGCATATTTGGTCTATCTTCTCAAAAAGTATTACATTTCTGCAAATTGCTAATTATTCTGCACATTTTGCTTTAAAATATTTATCATTACTCTATTTATTTTATTAAATTTAATTTTTAATTTTGTAATATGTGGTTTTGAAAACAATATGTGGTTCTATACAGTTAATAATAAATTTTTCATATCCAAATTGTGCAGGATATTTAAAAGGAAAATCATCTTTTCATGTATTAAAAGTTGTCAAATGCATCGTCAAACTCAGTAAGGTTGGTGAATTATCATAAGTGATTTGAACTCACACAAGTCACAGAGAAGGCTTACCCTACAAATGTGAGTAAAACAGGACATGCAAAAGAGAGGAACTTTTCTTTTCATGGAATGAAGTTAGCTGCTAAGGGTTTCTTGTAACTGTGGTTAAAAGTGATTCTAATGCAAATTGTTCAATGTATTTATTGGCAGAATCCCAACTAATAATACTAGCTGATACTACTAATACTTGTCTTTGAAATATCATTGAGTGTTATAGTGAGAATATACTGGGCATAAAAACTAAGGAAGGCAGTGTTACGATGGTTTAATACAGATACTTTGTAGGGGATATTTTTGAAGATTTTACTCCATAAACGCATACATATTTCATAGATTTTTAGTGCATATAAATCTGGTCCCTACTTATCAATTATGAATATCACTTTTTAAAAATATGCTTTCTATGCTGTTTTAGTTGTGGACAGCATTGCATCAAATTATTGCTAAGTTCAATGTCTTTTGCTTTTCAAAAAAGAGATGCTTCATTAATGTTAATGTATTATCACATCCATGTAGCAGGCTATGATACTGGAACTGGAAAAGTTTCATTATTGAACTGTGATGCTCTAAGTTAAAACGTATTCCATAATTGTAAATATTTTATAGGATCTTGAAAAAAATGTAAAGTGTTGATAAATTAAGTATTTACTGGCAAATTGGTTGATTATTTTTTACCTTTTCCCGATACAACTTTTTATCTTGCAAGCAATGACAATGATGGCCAGATCAGGTCACATTGCAGTTGGCTAATATTCATTGGTTGTTTCATTAGTTCCAAGTGTATAATAATACAATCTTTAGTATAAGAGCATTTATTCCAAATAGTGTATAAAGGTTTAATTCACTGTACAGGAAATTGATTTCATAAAGATGTTTTGTTTTCAGCATCTCCAGCAGTAACTCAGGCTCACCAAATAATTGCCAACATGTATATAGAACACTAGAATTTTTACAGCAACTGATTTTGTTGCTTTTTCATACACACAAATATCACAATGTAGAAATCACCACATCAGATTACTTTCATTAATAAAGATTACCCTTTTTTATAACACAAATTTGAAAGACGAAGAAAAAAAGCAAAAAAGAAAAAGAAAATACAACAACATATTTTGTATAACAATGTCAGAGGCATTTCGTAAACACATTAAAATTATGTGTACCATAGAACAGGTTACTAATAGTACTGTTTTTACAAAAAATTGAAAAAGTATTTACATTTATTGTAGTACATAACTTATAAAATATTGAAATATACATGCAATGTAATATCAAATTACATAAATGTGGAACACTGGGGACACCATACATCACTGAAATATTTCTAAAGTTAGTACAATAACACTTCTCATATCACAAGAGTTAAAAAATATTTTGTATGATTGTGCTCTGAAATCTCAGCTGTTTACTGCTTTTTTTAACGTTCCAAAGGAAAATGTACTTTTATTGTAATCTGATCATGTTGTTATGTTTAAAATATGTTTTCCATTCCATATCATTATACTTTCGGTTGTACCAGAATATGTGATCTTCCTATATTTTAGCTTATAACATTTTTTGTTTGGTTTTGATGAAATAATTCGAACATAATCCATAAGAAGTGCAACACATTAACAATTCGTTAATAAAATACTTTTTAATGGATACATTAAAGTTTTTTAGTGACATGTGGTGTGAAATAATGCAGACAATTTTAATGAAGAAAGTAATTTTTAGCAGCTTTCAAGATATGAATGCTATATGCAGAATAAGATAGAAAATAGTTAATATTTGTACAAAATGCACTATGATTAAAAAAATGAAGGAAAGCTTTTTTCAGAAATGCCAGGATAGAATTTTTTCCTAGGTACATTAAGATATACATGATGCAACCTTCGAATTTGTAAGATTTTTCTCAGAGAAGAAAAGAAATCATTGCATTCTGGAGTTGATATTTACTGAACTGAGAGTAGCTTACAGCTACATCATGGGACTCATCTCTAAGAAATCTGAAAGAAAAATTGAACATTATTTTTTGTAGCATTATTAAATCCACTATGATTTGGCTTGTATGTTCTGAGTTTTTCATTTAAATTACCCACCCTTCAATGTTGTGGACTGACATGTGACAGTGCAAGGATACAGTAGTTTCTGAGCAGTACAGTTTTTTGTTCATGTAATACAAGCAGCACATGTTGAATTCAGTGAATTACTGAACCTCTTTGTTATTTCCATATTTTTGAAAGCCTTGATCCTATATTAAATTCTTAAAATTGAGAATAAACTTGTTTTCTACTGCATTACTGCTGAATTGTCAGATATTCATTTGTTTTAGAAATGCAGAATATCCTGCCTATTCTATAGTTCCCTAACCATGCTTACAATTGAAAATAAACTAAGAGATTTTATTTTGTGTAAATTCTTTTTATTATGAACGGAACGTTTCTACTTTTTATATTCTTGAAATCTATAGTTCGATTTTATTTGTAAATTTGAGTGAATTATTTCTCTTTTAATTAAAATGTAATTTCTTTATTGATCTTCAAATTAGTCATTATTCTGCTTCAAATAATTTAGGTTCTATATTAAATTTTGTTGCCGCAATTTGTTTAAATATAAATTATTATTTACTAATGCACCCCAAAAAAAGTTTCATGATTTTTCACATCCAACTTTTTATTTTAGTCATAAAATGTGTTTGAAACTAACAATAATTGCTAAAAGCATTTTAGCAAACCACCTAACACCTAACAAAGACATCGGGCACTACTAGATCCACTTGCTTCCACAAATTTGCCACTATTTCCTGTGTGTATAATTTAATTCTAGACAAATTCATAGATGTTTTTACATTGATAAGAGAAAGAATGAAGTGCATTGGTTCAAGCATAATGCACACAACAGAATTGAGAATTTGTGCTTAGACTGTGAATATTGTTTTTGTAATTATTTTTAGTAAAAGAACATTTTACACCATTGAATGACATGAGGTATTCTCATTGCATTTCTTGATGCTGTTTTTGTATATTAAGGCAGCATGTAATGAGAGAAGACTGCTTGTAATATTGTGGATTAGAAAGGAATTTGATCCTATTAAATGCTCTATTCTCTCATTAACATAAATGTACTTTTTTCTTGATGAAAATTACCATAAGGTTATTCAACTAAATACTATTTGTACTTAAATAAATTTATATAACTCCATTAGTTGAATTAATGAGCAAATCACAACAAAGAATGGCAAGCTGTATAGACAGTATCAAATATTTGTTGAAATAATATTTGGATATCAGTTTGAGAAACAAATGTGCAAATTTGGGTGCTGTGCCCAGAGTTCATGCTAATTATAAATCCTTTTTAGGCATTCTCAAGATAATTTTATTTGGCAGATTGTGAACATATGTTGCTCTGTGCAATAAAATATAGTTGCAGGTCTTAAAAACAAATTTTTATTCTTAACGTGCTACTTCTGAACATAGAACAAAGTAAGGTACTATTTATTTATTTATTTGAAATTCATTAGAACTGCATCGTAAGATTGACATGAATGTGAATAAATAAAACAGATTAACTAATTAAAGAGAAAAATAAGATTGGATGTTAAAGGCACAGAAAAAGAAAGAGTTGTGTGTTTGAAAAATAGGAATGGGATGACATTTTTGCAAAACCACTAAACAGGGTGTTCAGTCAGCTTCAGAATAACACTTGTGAAGACGGGTTATTGTGTTAAATTTTTTAGCATTGTACAAATATCTGTTCCCATGATTTTTCTGTTGTAATGATTTTTTAACTGTAAAATGTTTAATCATTACCTGAAGGATTATAAAAATGTTGATGAAATATGTTAATTAAAAAATAATATAGTATAATTTATATTATTTTGTGAAGTGTCATTCAACAAATTGAAATCTATCCTTCCATCATTATTTTTTGTGTTTAATTTTCCTTACTTTGCAGGATTACACTTTATCCAATTATTGTATTGATGCACTTGTTGAAATCTGAATTCCTTTGTTTTACCAAAGTTTTTGAAGTCCAGTAATTTGTTTTCAAAATACAGTTATTTTTTTCTATTTTCCTCTTAGTGTTCCAATTAGATTGATTGAATTCCAGGTTTTTGACATCTCACTGTTAATTGAAACTTTTACAATATTAAGTACACCCTACCTAAATTTCGCAAAACTTGATACCAGTTTGCTCTTTTTTCTTTTCTTTTTTTTTAAATATTGAAGAGGTTATTATTTAGGTGTTAAAATTTTGAATATGGTGAAGGAAAGACCTCCCAACAATTATTAAAATTGTTTCTTTACATTCACATAAGTTACTGTGATATATATTTTAAGCAAGTGCAATTGTGACCCTGACAAGTTGTTTTCAAATTTTCTTATTATATTGATCTTACCAACAATTTTATCAAATGCATATGGGGCATTGACTACATGAGTAGTATTGAACAGTTTTTGTGTTATAAGTAAATCACATTTTCTAAATTAAGCCCCTTGTTCAAATGTATTCAAATATTTTAAGTTTTAATCCGCTTAAAAAAATATATAAAAAAAAAATAAGGAAAATTAAATGATGGACAGAGAAGAGAAACTTTTATGGAAGATAATTTAAGGAAGTTTCACCCATAACCAGGAAAATAGTTTCAAATAATTAGATAAAATTGAAATTAAATTAATTTATAAAATTATGATTCAAATTTCATTGGCTTCACTTGGAATATACCCACTTTCCTTTGCTTCCTGGTAACTATGCTACTGCCCAAATTGACTGCAATGTGGTATTATTTTGTACCCCTTTCATAGATACGCTAAAATTATTTTCTGAATATTTTGAGGAAAAAGTTTAGAAATATTATCTTAAAAAGAAGTTTTATTTAGAACATCTAAGTGAAGCATATTTCTACTGCTTATTTGTTTTAAAAACTCCATTTCTTTTACTTATTATAGGTTAAAAATTCAGTTTTTAGCATACAATAAATCAGTTTTTTTTTTTTATTTGGGCCAATGAGTTGAGTGTGGAGTATATAATGACTTAGCACAATATTAGTTATATAATGATAACAAATATTGTGATTATTCAAGTTATTTTTGAATGAAGTTAAAGGAAAGACTTTCTTCAATTTGTTGAATAACTGGTGAAGTGATGTTTTAATTCTTGAAAGACCAAAGGAAATGATACAGTTTTTGAGTTTCTCCACTTGACTAGTCTACCTCTGAGAACTGCACAAATACATTACTGAGTGTGTTATGCCTTCAGTTTTCCTATTTTATATTTAACTTTTCAAAATAATTATTATTTCTGAAAGAAAATTGGTGTAGTTTGAAGTGAAAATGAGTTTAACTATTGTTTTTTAAATTGTGGAATTTCGTGGGGTTAGAAACAATTTTTTCTATAAAATTAAATGTTCTCTGAAAGTATTTATGGAGTATTGTTCAAATCTGTATGATATAAGGTATTGTTAGTGAATAGTAGTACTTATAGTAGAGCATTTGAGAAGATGATAACTCATGAGTAGGGACCACATTTCAATGCAAATGAAGATCCTCCTTGTCTGTGTTCACGTGGTTTGTTTATGAAACACCCATTTATCTATTATTTAATAATTTTATAAAGCTTATCTGACACTTTTTGCCTGTTTTCTGAATAAGGATCATATTTCTGCATATTGCTCATTATTCTACTATTTTGCTACTAAACATTAGTCATTTATCATGTTTATTTTCTAAATTTATTTTTATAAATTTAATTTTTTAATTTATGATTCTACAAATGTGGTTCATCTCAACTTTTATCATTTTCTTGAATCTGAATTAATTATGATATTGAATAGGAAAATCGTGATCATTTTGTGTGTTACCTGCTGTTGAGTTGATCTTCAAAATTAGTAAAGTAGATGAACTAACACACATGACTTGAAACTCCAACATCACAGTGGGGTATTCCCCTACAAATGTGAATAAAACAGGATGTGAAAAGAAGAGAATTCATGGTATGAAGGTGACTGCAAAGGGGTTCACAAAATTGTGTTCAAATGTGCTTCTGTTGTTAATTATAACATTATTAAGCAGTATTTTTGAAACGAATACTGCTCTTTGAAATTTCATTGAGCAATACAGTAAGGCCAAAGTGCCAGGTGAAGTACTGTGCATTAAATTAGTGAGAAACAGTATTAATGTAATCAGGTTAATATATTTTATTTGGGCATATTTTAGTATATTTTCAAAGATTTTATTGCATACATGCATAAATATTTCATTCATTATTAGTTTATTATTAAATCCAGTCCCTACTCATGAGTCATTGAGGAAAATGGACTGCATTTATAAGTGAGCCCTATGGTGAAGATGATGATGCCTATTTTTTTATTAGTATTTTGAAGTTAATGACTGCAATGAAATGAAAATTGAAGAATTTAATAAGCCCAACAAACAATGGTGAACACAAGTGACATTCTGTATGAAACTAAATTCATTTTGTAATACAACAAAATGGAAAGTGAGTTTCTCCATTTACCATATTTGTATATAGAAATTATTAATATTTATTAGAAGAATGTTTTACAAATGGGTATACTTGAAAATACACAAAATTAAGTTTGTTTTGATTTTCTAGAATATGTCACTTAAAAACGTAAACCAGCATTTTGGTCACATTTTATTCCTCTTTAAAAAAATATTTTTGTACAAATTAAATCTGTGACTTTTGGTATTCCAATATTAATATCAAACAATTATGATTTGTTTTGAAAAAAAAAAATATTGAGCACAACTTGTATTTGGCAGTTGAATGTGGTTGCTCAGTTCAGTATTATTTTACTTACTGTAGGTATCTATATCTATTCTATTGTGCTCTTAATTCATTTGGTGTTATTTAATATTTTTTTCATTGCTGACATATTTTTTCAGTGATGTAAAATCCAGCCTCTAAAATATTAAATAATTAGTGAAATTTAAAACAACACTTTCTTGTTTTATATTAGTAGTCTTTTTAATCAGAAGCATTACATTGCATTAAATTTGTTTTGAGACCAGCGACTAATTATCAAGTGAGCAGTAAAACATTTAGGAACAAATAGTTCCTAAATCAAATACTCTACAGCTTCTTATCATCCATCACAAATAGTGACTGTGGTCAAACGCTTTTGTGAAATGCATTTGCAGCAAGAAAAATGTGCAGTTCATAAGCAGTTATTTCATAATACTTTATAATAAAATAGTTTAAGCCTAATATATAAAAAGGGTCAAGCATAGCAGCTGCTGTTGCATAAACGTGGTAGAGCAGAAGGAATTGTATCACCTCTCATGCAGTTCCCGTGATCTTGTGCGCTGACGTACAAGGCTTACAACCTTGTTGTTCTGTTGTAACAACTGAAAAAATACAATAAAAGAGGTTAGAAAGATTTATACCAAAAGTTTTTTACTTTCCCGTATACATAGGTATATACAGAGTAATATACCTAGTATAGGGAAACTTATGTGATGCAGCGCGAAAAAACAGCGGGTTTTCGGCAGAAAAAAATTCATTGCCGGACCCTGATAACAAAAAAGTGGATAAATCCAGTAGCTAAATTAGGGGGAGGATTGTCTAACATGTGTACCCGGAATCCCTATTCAGTAGGTCCTTGACACCGAAATATCGATTGACAGCAAAATGTCAGTCCTTCTATTTGTTTGTTAACAACCACAGAGCCTAAATCATACATACGATTATTTACTTTATTTATTTATTTATTTCCCAAAATGAATATCCCTCGGTTGATCTGCTTCCAATCAAGGCGATTTTAAAGCTGCGATTTTAAAAAACCTTTCTTCAAAATTTGGGGGTACTTAACATCAAGTCCTCCGACATTTTCAAGAATTGTCAAAAACTGCTCAATTTTTTTTTCAAACTTAATGAACCCATGTCGATGTGTCCTGAGTCAAAGCTCAGCGATTTTGAAAAACATTCATTAATTTTTGGGGGACATTCGCAAAAAATTCTCAAAAAATACCTTCTAATTTTTTTCTTTAAATTTCTTGTAAGAATAGAGTACATGTATAAAAGTGGCATAGATCAAATTTTCACGACTAACACTAAATTTTTGAAAATTTTAAAATTTTTCAGGCAAGTTCCTACAACTGCAAAATTGAAGATAGTTTTCTTTTCTTTCAAATAAAATTTGTTTTCTCTAATGAGTTTTTTATTAAGATTGTGTAGGGTTTTTTGAAAATTTTAGTCGTTTTCGCGCAAAATTGCGCACAATATGTGCAATTTAAAAAAATAACGAAAACAAGATTTTTTCAAAAACTGCTCCAAATTTTTTCTTTAAACTTTTGGTAGCGATAGTGCTAAATGTAATCTATGAAATAACATGAACATCAGTTTTCTCTATTTTTTTTTTTTCTAAAATTGCAAAAATGTAATTTTTTTACTAGCCTCCTAAGTTTAATTAATATTTACATTAGCGGCAATCTGTTCACATTATTGCATATGAGAACTTGTGCTTTAAATAATGTCAGATAAAAATTCTCAAAAACTCAACTGTTTTCTGTGAAAACTAGCTCAAAATTCCCCATTTTCAGAAACACTCAAATGCCATACAGTTCATTTTGGGATTTTTTTTTTTTTTTTAATAATTACACAAATGTTTTTTGTTTTTTTTAAAGATTTCTCACACTTTTATTATGCACATTTCCAGCAATTTTTAAACATGGTTGTATTTGTAAGTTAAAGTGCTTCAAATACATCCAATTAAAGTTTTTTGAAGACTCAAAAATTTTCTGTGAAAAAGAGCTTCAAATTTGTGATTTACAGTACCAGCGCTTAAACGTCACTTTGCAAAAACGGCTCCAAATTTCTCAAAGAAAATTCCCATTTAGGAGAAGGTTTTACTGTTCTTGAATATTCCCACAATAATATTTCCAGTCTATTATTATGAAACTGAAAAAATAAGAAATTTTCAAAAAAACTTTACTTAAGAGTGGCGATAGAGGGCAACTGGCAAGAGTATGTGGCAAGTCCAAATAGCTAGTCAAGATTAAAGGAAATAGAATACTAATATGGGAATGTCTGTGCCATTCTGCTGCACCACTAGTTCTTCTAAGGAAGATAGACATGATTCTCTTTATGAGACAAGGAGATTTCCAAATTAAATAACTAATTAATAACATTTTAAACACACATGTTTAGCTTTTTGAACATCTTTAAAATCTCCCCAAAGCATTCAATTTTCAATAATATGTACATTTATTCAAACAACTTTACATATTGTTGCTTTACCAGAATACCGTTGTAACTCAAAATCTCAATTTCACTATTTTTATTTAAAGTGAATTTTAAAAAAAACTATTTTGTTTGTTAAATTAGTTCTAGTTAACTGTTTTAATTTTTTTTTTTAATGTGGAATAAGCCTGTGTTTTCAACAATATACTAATTGCCTCTTGATGGCATATGCAATAGTATGTCCCAAACAAGTTTTTTATGTTATAACAGTATTGTGGAAAAATTATGTTCCTTTCCCCATGAAAATTTTAGTCAGTGTTAATTAAAAGATTAATGGTTGACTTTTACCTCTCTAGCAGTCTTCTCTTGAGTTCAGGAGGATAAGTTACATATATATAATGTTCATTTTGTCCCATGTCATTCATATCTGGCATTGTATAATATTCTTCAGAATAACACGGTCTCACTGTTGTGGAATTTGCTTGATGTACTGGGGATGATGTAGCAGTTGCAGTAGCACTTGTAGATGCTACACTTAAGTCATCAGAGCTAGAGAAGGTGGAGAACACTAAAGGATCAGTGACTCTACCATATGCAGTAAATTGAATATGATAACAATAATTGTTCGATTAAAATAATAGATTTGATGTATGTACATCATGCAACCATTTCACTTAAGCTCCATAGAAATAATAAATATATTGACACTCAGAAAAAAATAATTAACTTGGTACCTAAGCATTACAATTGGTCATTCCCATTGCAAAGCTTGTAATGTTGCACTGTGATGTCCACATGTCAGTTATCTTTTTATTTTAATCGGACAATAGTATCAAAGTTCAGTCACTGATACTCACTCAAATAACACCCAAATGATGTAGTAACACAGGCAGATACCAAGAGAGAGTACCATGACTAACACAAAGACCAGTCCCCAGGGGAAGTGACGAGTGTCCCCTGGAGTATCCTCCCAATAGCGGTCACACGTCAGGTACCAGCAAACGGCTCTATTGAGCTCTTCTGTTCGAGTGATAAGAAGAAAAATTTATAAGACATATTTTGAGAAACTAATTTCTTTCATGGAGAAAATACAAAATGAATGTATCATTCAGTCTTTTTTTTAAAAAATAGTTGCTATTGATTAATATTGTAATGTATTCTTTATGAAACAAATAATTCCAATAGACACTTAGTCATACAGGGATTCAAAAATTTACAGAATCTTTCAGCGAAATATATTTTAAAAAATATTTAATGAGGACCTCTGGCATTGAGGGAAACAAGTTCTCCCATCAATTAAACCATACTCTCTGACTGTGAATCAAATGGAGAAAAATGATCATATTTATTGTTGTATGTTTTTGTTTGGTTGTTTTTTGCTCTTAGATATCTACTTACATATCAAATCCATTAGTTTTTTTATTTTCTCTCTTTAGCATGAAATGTTAAGGAAAATTGCAGTTTGCTTGCGTACCTTCTACTTCTTTAAAATCCTGAATGGATAGATTTACCAGCAGACCAGCAATGCAATCCCGAACTATGATCTGGAAATGATGAGATGGATAATTGATCATTCATAAGACCACACTTTCATTACATCAAATTTGCATAAAGAAATATATATATATTAGTATTATATATATATATATATATATTATATATATATATATATATATATATATAGAATGTATTAGATATATATATATTATATAGATAGATATTAGATATATATAATATATATATATATATATATTAATATATATATATATATCTGAATATATAAATAAATTATATATATATATATTATATATATAGTATTATATTAAATTCGCAGCCAATGTATCACCGTTATATGCAGCTCTATCACCGCTAGTTTTAAATATTGATTTCTGCCTGTTCAATTGGGATAAATTTGTTCATGATGTTGAAATTTTAATAGTACAATAATGCTTAGGTAAGAAAAAATTGCCTCAAATTTAAGTTTTGGTTAATTCACTATCCATTTATGATTTTGGCAATAAAATCGATATCTTTTTTATAATGAAATCATGACGAAAGAAATTTAAATGAATATGGATGATGGAAAAATATGATCACTCTGGCGACAACACGTCGGTAAAGCCAGCTGTCCCATGTTAGTAGATTTACTGCATGTAAAAGATCCTCAAGCCCAAATGAAGAGCTTTTGAGCTAATCAAATCGCCGGTTTCGTCGTCCGAGTGATACTTCCTCTCTCTGCTAGTGGGCGAAATGTGCGTGACGGAAGGGCGGGCATCATGGCCTGAGCTTCGCCATGTAAATTCTATTCAAACACGTTGCAGGTTCCGTATTCTGCAACAGCATTCAGTGACCTCTGCATTTTCGCTTTGCATATCTTCACGGCAGTTGTCAGCGACATTTCTCACAGCTCCCTTGCACTGCCTGGCAACCCACCCGCGCTCCAGGGAGAGGAAATGGGAAGACCCTGCTTTAGCCCTTTTCTGACCGTGCCCCATCACCAGGATGGTCAGTAAACGAGGTTTTTGACAGCCTGTTCTGCAACGTTTGAGCATCGTCATATCGCGCTACGAATTGTATTCTTCCGATATCCATAAGGGCTGAGGCCTCGTTTGATAATACCACATGAGTGTCAGTTACAGCACTCTCGCACTGTCTGGCTGACTATTAAGAGCCAGTAGCAACCCACCCGCGTTCCAAGGAAACAAAACGGGAAAGACACTGCTTTAGCCATTTTCTGGCATAGCCCCAACCCCAGGATGGTCAGTTAACGAGGTTTTTGACAGGTTCTAGAACATTTGAGCATAGCCACATCGCTCTGCGAATCCGAAATTGCGGTATCCGTAAGTGCTGGAGCCTCGGCTGATAAGTGTCAGTTCAGTTTGAAATGTTGAAGGTTAGGGATTGTTTTCACGAGTGTTTTGCATTGCTCCAATATCGTTACTGAAGATAATATCGTAATAATTGATACAAATCATGTTGAAAAGCAGATGAAAATATGTTTGGTTTGATAGCAATGAAGTGTTATAAAACTGCTCACGTTACTGAGCAAACAATAGCGGCGAGCGTAAATGCAACGCCTTGCGACCGAGGGTACTAGTGATTGGGAATTGGCGGGTTTTCCCCCAACAGAGAGCCGAAATGTATTGCAAGCGTCTAAAAATCAGTGCTTTTTTGGTCCTTGACAAAATCGAATTGACGAAAGTCGACTTTTCTTGACTTCTTTCATGAGTTGCGGGAGAAGCAGGCTGAACAAGAAGCCTCGGACCGCACGCGATTTTACATTCCGATTCCCTTCACTTTACATCTCCGGACGTTGGTTACCATAATGACCTAAAACAACAATCAATCACAGTCAAAATGCGATCGTGTCTCAGTGTCGAAGTCACTTGCCTTTCACCACTGAGGTTGCCAGTTCGATTCCTGTGTAAGTCCCGTAGAATCCCCGTAGAACCTCATGTGAAATTTGTTACGACAAACGAGTTTGCATGCTTCTCAGGGGCTAATTCAAACACCGTGAAGCGTCCAAAACCTTACCCCTATCCTTATTCCTTCCTAATTCATACCGATGGGTAGATGACACAGGGAGACGCAACCTATCGGCTTTTCGAGCCTAGCTTAGACTGCGATTGACGTGACTTTGACTACCCAGTGGGCTCTGGAGAGTACTGGGTGATTTTTAACAGAGGATTACTCCCAATAAAATTAACGGAGGATTACTTCACGGTGCGCTCAACGCTCCTCAAGGAACTAGGAGACGCGTTGCGTCATTACAGACGCAACATTTTTGTTTAAAAAAACGTGCGGATAGGTGCTCACCTCGCATCGCAGCTTGAGCTTGTGCAGCTCCTCGGGCCGACAGTTGGCCTTGAGACGCTGGAGCTCGCTGATGCGTTGCTGCTTGTGGTCTGCGGGCGGCAGCGCCGAGTCCACCAGGTTGCTGTTGTCGCACACGTCCGCCGTGGCGTTGCTGTCGCCGTCGCCGTCGGGGGGCTGAGGGCCCACCTCCCCTGGGGGCCCCGACGCGGGCACTGCTACCGCGTCCCCTTCGCCTGGCGCGCCAAACAAATATAGTTTATTGGGAATCGAAGTGCATTCTCAATTAAGTTTCGCAATTAAGTGGAGTCATGCATTAACATTCCATTTTTAGTGAAATCGGCACGTGTTCCTCCTTTTAAGTGGTCATATTTTCTCGTAGTCAGTGACCATGTACATTTCATAAATTAACTTGATATGTGGTCACGACTTCCTGGCACGTTTGCAATAATCCAATACGCTATAAAAGCAGAGGACACGCAGATATTACTGTATATTCCATATGTGCGTCGGTTCGATCTGTTGGATTATACAGAACAGTCAAGTAGATATGTTTATTTTGCAAGGTAATCCAAATATTAACAAATAATTTTCAATCGTTCTCTGAAATTTTGTTAGGATGCGACCTAAGTCTATTTGGGTTCACGAAGTTCACGAATGGGAAAAAAGTAGTGGTGTAAAATGAAGTGCGTTCTTGAAATTAAATGCTTTGGCATGGGAGTTGTTCAAGTCCACACATGGAAAAACCTGCTAATAGTAGGTATTTGTTTAGTCAGTATGGGTAAGTACGTGACTTTTCTCACGTACACTATGTGATCAAAAGAATCCAGACACGTCCAAAATGGTGTCATGGTGTGGTCGTGTTTTTCATGGAGGGGGCTTGCACCCCTTGTTGTTTTGTGTGGCACTATCACGGCACAGGCCTATGTTGATGTTTTAATACCTTTTTGCTTCCCACTGTTGAAGAGCAATTTGGGAATGGCGATTGCATCTTTCAAGACGATCGAGCACCTGTTCATACTGCGCGGCCTGCGGCGAAATGGTTACATGGCAATAATATACCTGTAATTGTCTGGACGACACCGAGTTCTGACTTGGAACCTATCGAACACCTTTGGGGTGTTTTGGAACGCCGACTTCGTGCCAGACCTCGCCCACCTACATCGATACACTGAAGGGAGGCTTCAGTGCAGCACTTCGTGAAGAACGCGCTGCCATTCCCCAAGAAATCTTCCAGCAGCTGATTGAAAGTATGACTGCGAGAGTGTAAGCTGCCATCAAGGCTAAGGGTGGGTCAACGCCCAACTGAATTCCAGCATTACCGATGGACAGGTAAGTCATTTTCAGCCACATGTCCGGATACTTTTGATCACATATCCACTAATATTAAGAGGTATTTCGCCAATACCTATTAATATTAGTAGACGTTGGCTTGGCAAGTATTACTATATAAGGTTAGTAAGTGTATGTGTTCGTAGGGATTGATTAACGGACGCCGAGCGCACGTACCGGTCGGCGCGGGCGCGGTGGCGGGGGCGGCGCTGCGCGGGCAGTTCTGCTGCTGCGGTGGCGGCTGCGCGGGGGCGGGGCCGTCGGCGGGCGCGGTGGCGGGCGACGAGCCGTCGCGCGCCGGGGCGGCGCCGGGGGCCAGCCCCGCCGCACTGGCGCGCGCCGGTCGCCGGGAAAGATGCACCTACCGCGCGTGAGCACGCGCGCCAGGTCGCCGGCCCTGACGGCGGACAGCCGCCGTAGCGGTACGCGCGTCGCACTCCGCTGCCAGATCTCCAGTAGTCGGTGTTGGCGTGCGCCAGCATCGCCCGCACCCGCACGCCCCACGAGTTCTTGCGCCAGCAGCACATCGCACCGCAATGAATATTCACAATAGTCCGACCAGGCACACGGGCGATCCTCCGACCTGCCGACACGACGCAAGCGCTCATCGTCGCACAGCTCTATCTCTCCCCCACTTCTCTCTCATCTCTACTTCTCTCTCTTCTCTCTCTCTCCTCTCTCTTTCCCTCAAGAGAATTGCAAAGACTCTCGCGAGGGCTTTCTCTCGTCGGAAGTCTCTCTCAGCTGCATTTTCTATCACGAACACTCTCACAGAGACCCTCTTGCAAAGACCCCTCACAAGCGATCCACGATCTCTCTAAAAAAGAGTCTATTACGAGTAATCTCCCTTATGGGAACTCTCAGGAAGAGTATCACTACGGTTCCCTTGCAGTCCCAAGATGTAAGGGGACTCCTTGCACTCACAAGCAGCCCCCCTCCCAGTTAATCTCGCTGAAGGAGAGTCTACCACAAGGATACTCTCTCACGAAGAGTGTCACTTTGACTGTCTCACGAGAGATTTCTCTTACCAGGAGTGTCGATCACAATGACTTTCACAATGACCCTCTCGTTGCGACTCCCCTCACAATGTATCTCATAACAAAGTGTCTAACAAGGACTCTCACGCTGACGTGGTTTGTCTCCCACAAAGCCACTCCCACATTGTTTTTTTTTTCACAAGGATCTCTCCTGCCCCCTCTCTCTCGTCTCGTCTCTCTCTCTCACACACACACACAAATATTCTGTTAACTGGCCGAAATAAACTTCACTCTATGGGAAACGTAAATGAACCTCTATAAACCAGAAAGCCAGACATATCAAGTAGCATGTCAAGACCTTTTTAACGAACCTACTTAAAAAAAAGAATAGTAGTCTTTAAGTTTTGCACCGATATGTCTACATTATAATTATTCTTGGAGATTGTTTATAGCAATTTTAGTATAACTCCATAAAAAAGAAATTTAGAAATAGTTAATAATAATAATAATAATAATAATAATAATAATAATAATAATAATAATAATGTGTACATAAACCGTATTATGGAAAATGCAATTTACGAAAAAGTATTATGGAACTAAACTTACTTTTCTTCTTTAAGCAATTTACGCGGAAAGGATTCATGATTATTGCGTTGAATTACAAATTTCTCGTAATGCATTCAAATAGAGCTGCGAATAGTCTTTAAAAGTTACCCAATTTTAGCAAGCGAAAATAATTTGAATCATGTATTAACTGTCTAATATGATTCTGACAGTAGCATTCTTCCTGCGACTTCTCTACTGATTTGTCTATTAATATTGTCAGATTTTTTTGGAAGCGAAACAGTGTCAGATTTAGGCAATTTTGAGTCCTGCGGCAAACTAAAATGTAGACCGCCTGAAAATGCCTTATCTAAATACACATTTGTTTTCTATTGTTATTTAATTAAATACAACAATTTTACATTGTAATTTTAAATTGTATTGATAATTGTATTCTTTGAAACCACATATTTAACGACTTTTAATTTTTCGAGCCTCTGGCTATCCGCCCACAGAAAGTTGCTCATGACTAACGCTGACACTCAACTGGAAAGAAGAACAAAAAGTTGCGGAAGGCTTTTTAAATCGTTTAATAGTGCTAAAAAAGCACAAATTAGATGTGTAAAATAAATTCAGCGAGTAGACATCCGTGCAATATAAATTGTGCATTCGATGAGAAATGACTCAACAAATCTGAAGATGCTGATCAATGCCAATGAGACAGCAGTTATGGATTTAATAAATGCATTTATATCACCTTAAAGTATGCGGGAAATCTTTACTAAATTCCTTATTACATGCATTTTGATCTAACATATTTTAATCATAATTATTTTCTGGGTAGGGGGTCAGCGGCGAATCCATAGCAGTATCTTGCTCTTTTTATTTAAGTAAGTAGTTTCCGATTCATCGTTGAGGATGATTATTAATAGAAACTTTCTTAACCCTAAATTCTCGTCTTACGACGATTCTAGAATGTTACAAAAGCATTCGAAACCATTATCGTGCGTAATCCTTCATTAAATCTCCGGCATTCTCATCTAGCCAGATCTGCTCAAGAGTATCTTGCAACCTTTCTGCAGAGTACATAGATGTAGGGAACAGTTATATAATTAAATGAACATAGTGAATGTTCAACTACTAGTTTCTCAAAAAAGTCGTGGCCAACTGTGTCCCCGCATAAATTTCAGTAAGTGCAGATAGTGTTATATACGTATGTTCATGTTTCCTTCAATTATTTTACAATTTATATTTGGAGGCCGTCGTTGTCCCCACATTGGTGTTGACTGGATACTGGAATTGTGTCACTAAGTGACACACTCTTCCAACTAAATACATTTCTAATTCACACAAACTTGAAAGAAAACTGTGCAACCTCCGTCGATACGGGAGGGGTCTATGAATTCGATAGATACCCAGAGGAGATTTTCTCCTGCAACTGAGGCCTCAGAAACTGTCCCGCCGTTCAGAGCGATGTTGCGGGTTGCCGATATGTCAAGCTAATACTCCTCTCAGTTCGATGAACACAATCAATAAACTAAATATACGACTGAAGAGAAAAGAAAAATATCAAGGGTTACACATATGTGACATCCAGTTCTAAAATGTTACTGTGTACACGATTCTCAAATCAGAATAGATATTTTTTTGTAATTCGTAGTTTGCAGAGGCCAAATTGCGTTGTAAACATCACTTCTTCCTTGAGTTTCAAATTACGCTTCTCTGTAACACCGCAAATGTACGCGTGTGTGAACTTGCAAACCTTATCTGTCAGGTTTGAACCATACGGAGATAATCGCATATTTGAGATTTGATTGTATTCTAGTCCAAATCAGAAGCTGAAATTAACACCGTGTGACGACGAAGAGCACTACGTTTAAAATTGTGACGTAAGAAATAAGTGAAAGTGTTTAACGGGCGAGGATATTAAGTAAGCAAACATTGAGCAAAATAAATTGAAGTAATTTCTCGTTTTAGGGCATTAAACCTTTTCGTATATTTTGGGCACACTCGTAGTTACTGTGTATTTTGTTATGACGAAATAGTAAATAAGATCTAACTGTTAAAAATCACATACAGTTTTTTTTACTTTTAGCGCTTGTTACAATTTGTATTACAGATATAAAAATCTGTAATGGAAATAGAAAATCGGCATTATTCTTCTACTCTACTACGTCGTATTCGGGGATATTATTATTGCAGATAATAGTTCATGAATCATAGAACTTTATTTAGCACATCCCGATAGATTTAACCTTTCCCAGAGCAATAATACATACATGAGATTTTACAACTATCTTCCCGACATCATATCCAAACGTCACAAAATTACAGACTCATCACGCATCACACTTTTCAATGGTCGCCATAAAAATACAATTGTAACACATGATTTGAGGGAGTAGAGAAACTAGAAATAATGGTGTTTTATTGTATTCTGTTATTTAATTGTAGGTTGATACCAGGGGCGTATCCAGCTGACCATTTTGAAGGGAGCATTATAGATTTCTGTTAAATAATAAACATTTGTTATTATATTATATATTATTTTTGTAGTGTATACATGATACTCTACAATATTTTTTTAATAATTTCATAATTCTAAGATAAATAATATATAACCAAATTAGAGGGATACAAACGAAAATTCTAGGCCTTTAGGATGCGGAATGACCCCCATGCCTTCCCGTGGATCCGGCACTGATTGACACACATATTCGCGTAGCATAGTGTTGATATTTCAAGGGGAGGCAAAACTAAAATGTATGAAGTCAACGATAAAAATGAAACGAAACGATTTTTTTTAAAATTCGCATTATTATTATTATTATTATTACTACTGTATTATTATTATTATTATTAACTCATTTTAATGAAATGTCATTTTTTTCTTTTCGCTTTAGAACAATGCCGTTTAGTATAGAAATTTATTTAGTGTTATGGGAAAAGGAAATGACCCATTTTTATAGGACATTTGTTTGCATCTTTCGTCGATTCCGACTTATAAGTCATGTTTTATCTTTTCCGCTCATTTTAAATATATTTTTCACTTATTCCAGTAATTTTAATGTCATTTTAACGGTACTTGTTTCAAATAATATTTACGAGATGCAATAAATGTTCTCCACAGAATTCCTGAGCAGCCTATTCCATTTCTCCGCTTAAAAATTGTAATGTAAGCTGTTGTATGTGAGGTTCCTGTGACGCATTTATGATTATCGTTATTGTTGCAAATTCTCCGCAAAGTGCCCTCCCCCGCAATCAATTCACAGAGTGGTTGACAGCCTTTCATCTGCAGCTAGCGTTTCAGCTCTTCACGCTTGGGAAGGATCGCATCTCCCAGAACGGGTCATCCGTGAGAAACCCAATCACTTGAACAGAACTGTTGCTCACAGGACGAGACGCTGGTCCCAGGAAGATGCCTTCGTAGCGACACTTCTCCGCTTTCATAGCGTTAAGTTAATGACAGTTTCGTAGAATAGAAAGGGGACCTTTTTTATGATGTAATTCTAAGCGCATACATTTCCATTAATTTATACTCTCTTTGTATAATGCATTATGAAAAAATGACGATTTTGGACCGATTTAATTAACCTTTAACTCCTATTTCATATATCTAGAGATGGCACGAGGCAGCACGTAGAGATTATGGCACGAGGCAAAGCCGACGTCAATGCAATCAACAATACACGTACCGCTGCGAAATTTGAAACAAATTGCGCCTAATTCGGAAACTATACGTTTTAGGCTCTAAAAACCTTATGTTTTTGACCCATATCAGTAAAATTTTGTTTGCCGTAATCTACACAATGATACCTTTCTGAAGGTCCTTTTACATTTTTAGTAGGTCTTCCCACTTCGTAGCGGGGTGAGTCAGAGACGTTTGAAGATCGCTCTAACATGAAACTATACTTTTCACTTTTAAAACAAGGATCATTTACAAAACCGTAATCTTTGCACAAGTTAACCTATTCAAGGAATACAAGTGTTCAATTTTGAGAAGAAAAACACCAACGATAACTATTCTCAAAATATGGTAAGTGGCAACTGCAACCTCTCTAGATAGCTATAATTATCATTCGAGCAATATAAATAGTTTAAGACATTTACTTTTTGATTCAAGAACTTCTGGCAATAATCCGCACCAGCCACAGTAAGTTACCCGCTGTTCGTTGACGTTAAGAGATCTATCTCATTTTTATCCATGTGGCATTCATCTTGTGGCTGCTCTTAGCTCTTCTTAAAATGAACAACACATATCTAGAAACATGAGGCTTACTTCGACCGAAACAGAGATATTACATTTACGAAAAGTGAGCGGATTTTTGTGGCTGGAAGCTTATCTTATTCCTGCTCCAACCTCTCCAATTGTATTTAATTTTGTGAAGAAGGAGAAGAAGAAGAAAAATCAATAAAACTGAAAATACAGAAGAGAGTAACAGCAAATGTTTTTATATTTCTTATATTCGAGAAATAGAAACATTAAAAAACTTGTATATTAAGTTGTATTTAATCTAGTAAAAAGACATAGTAAAGATAAAAATATGGGAGTGGCAACCGATGTCCCCCAGCCCTCTACACACTAAGTGATCAAAAGTATCCGGACACGTTCAAAATGGTGTTATGGTGTGGTCGTGTTTTTCATGGAGGAGGCTTTCACCCCTTGTTGTTTTGTGTGGCAGTATCACGTGATAGGCCTACGTTGAAGTTTCAAACACCTTCTTGCTTCCCGATGTTGAAGATCAATTCGGGGATGGTGTTTGCATCTTTCAACACGATCAAGCACCTGTTCATACTGCATGGCCTGTGGCGGAGTGGTTACACGACAGTAACGTCCCTGCAACGGACTGGCCTGCGCAGAGTCCTGACTTGAACCCTAACCTTTGGGATGTTTTGGAACGCCAGCATTGTGCCAGGCCTCTTCGTTCTATATCAATACCTCTCCTCACTGCAGCACTCCATGAAGAATAGGCTGCCATTCTCCAAGAAACCTTCCAGCACCCGATTGAAAGCATGCCTGCGAGAGTGGAAGGTGTCATCAAGGCTAATGGTGGGCCAACGCCCTATTGAATTCCAGCATTACGGATGGAGGGCGCCACGAACTGGCCGGATACTTTTGATCTCTGATAGTGTACGTCTGTGAACGCGGAGAGTTTGAATGCTAGGACGCTTGGGTTAGGCGCCGCTCACCATGTTGATCTGGCTCTTGTGTCTGTTGTCGAAGTGCAGGTCGAGGAATCGCTCCTCATAGAACGACTTCCCGCAGAGGCCGCACGTCCACTGCGACGAGCGGTGCTGCTGTTTGGCCGACTGCTGCGGCCAGTAGATGTCCCTGGCTGGATGGAACGGGCACTCGATCGGCAGTTTCACTTGGAACTTCTCCAGCACCGGCAGCCATTTCTGCACACCGCGCGCATAACGCCGCTACAGCCAGGTTCATGGGCTGACATACAGTATATTTTTTTTTATTTTTTTTTTATTTTGAAAAAAAGAAAGAATAGACAACCTTGCTCAAATATTTTTCTAAAAATTAGTTGTTTTTTTCTTAGTGTGGTAAGATACATTAAGTATTGACTGTTTAATCATATTTTTAACTTTAATAATAAAATGTTAGATACATACGATATAAATAAATGACAATAAGCGTTTATTAGAGCAACACATGTGTTTTAAATATGAAACAAAATGGCTGTAAATCAATTAATGTACTCAAGTTGCAATATTGGTTCTAATTAATGAAAAACTGCACTAGATTCACACGCACAGATTAATAAAGAAGTGCATTCTAAATTGTTTTAATGAGTTGCCCGAGAATTTCACGTTTACCGCGAATATCTAATTCGGATTTAAAATCTCATTTCCAAATTTCAACCTCAATTTTTATTAATGATGAGTGCAAACACTTCAATTCAGCAAGAAAACAGGAAACCGGTTTCATTTGATTTTTGTCGTTTTCTTCTTTTATATAATCACGCTGCTATCAATGACCAATGTAGACAGAACTCAGAGAAAAGAAGAGGTCTGGGGTAGTGGAACAATGAGAATAACTTATTTGAAGAAAAGTCACCTTCTAATATTATTTATATTAATGGGTGGATTATGAATTAATAAGTAATGTATACAGTGCGATTTCTTGACTTTGTATGTCTGAGAGTCAGATGAGCTACTAGCTTGGTGCTACGACAGGAAAATATTTCCTGTGTATTCCAAAACCACAACCTTGGGGAAACGGATAGAGTGATGGGTTTAGTGCCAACACTATGGGTCATCGCTGTTCCATAATTCCGCGAGCATTTTCGAGCGTTTCGAGTTTGTGTCTCACATATCTCGTTCGTACTCGTGCGGAAATAGAATTTCAGAATGTTTATGTAATACATTCTATCGTAAGGTGTATGGTATTGTATCGTATAGGAAGATAAACATTCTTTGATAATTTCGCAACGATTAAGGACCCCACTTCACGGATCCGAATCCGCGGAACTTTGTGCACCTTTCCAAGAACTGAAACGTTCAGAATGCCGCGAGCGTTAGCGTTATTGGCCAGAGCGGCGAGTGCACTTGATTTCTGAGGGCCGGCTAACAGGCTGGGGATCTGACGGCCAGAGGACGGGCGAGATCGTAAGGCCGCGCGTGATACAGGGCTATCGTAAAATGCAATCAATTCCTTCAATTAACACATTTTCATTTTTCGTCGGTTGAATCCAAAATATGTGTATTTTTTCCGTCCGGCATTATTAATTAGAAATATCCTTATCGCATCGACTCACTTTAAATACAACCTTATGGTTGAAGAAAAATAGTTAAGAAACTGTTCTGCAGGAACGAAGCATTATTCGGCGAGGTGGTAAAAGAAATACAAACGCGGAGGAAAGCATACCCTTTCAGTTTGAATGTCTATTTCGTGTCGCGTATTTTATTTATGCGACTAGTTACGTCATATCAGCACACGATGTCCTTAAAAGTTGCGACCCCTTCCACTACCGTCAAGTCATTTGTACACACTACAGGACTTCACAAAGGAAATGAAGAATGGTTTTTCGGCATTTCTCCAAAGCAACGTAAGAACCTACATATGATCACAGGCTAAGAAATTAATGTTTAGTGCATTCAATATCTTTCTTCAAACTGTAATAAATGATCTTTATAAAAATATACCGGTTTTCGTTTGTGAGAGTGACAAAATAGAAAAAAAAGTAAAATATACATTAAGCTTTAAATTTCCAAAATATAAAAAAAACATAGTTTGGCCACCCTTTGAAAATCTCGTTATCTGAAACCGGTGTTGGTTCAGATAGATTCGTTATGCATTAAAATAAATGAAATGCTGTGGAAATCGTCAGAGACAACTTTACACCATCAGCATTCCCACAATAGGCAGTAGTGTTTCTTCATTCTTACCCAATTTTATTACTAAAATTACGAAAAATAAATGAACAAATCTTGTCAGTTTTTAATCCCTTGGTGTATAAATAACTATTACGAATTTATTGTTGTCTCTTTGCGCACTGCCCGTCACTCACCTTCTGCACGAGCCTCCGAACGACGGATGCGTGGTCTCGGGGGCAGGAGATCTTGAAGACGGTGGGGCCCGGCCACGGGATGAGGGACAGCACGACCAGGGCCACGACCTGCGCAGGCCAGCACTCCTAGCACGCATGCACACACACACACACATCCAACGCACTGTCAGAGCACATAATTATGTACTCAGGCCACGCACGCACTTTCAGGGCTCGTTCGCACGCTCAGAGCACGTACACTGGTGGCGAATAAAGGAAGCGGGGTGGTCTTTAACATAAATGAGACAAATTTGTTGTTTGATTTATGTAAATTTATCTTTAAATGTATAATTCATTTCCCGGCTTGCTTCTAACTCTATTGAGACTGAATTCTCAATTTAGTTTAAATTAATGCTTATTACTTTTACTATGACAGAACTCTGCCTTTATTTTGTATTTCAAAAACGTTTTCACAAAATCACTTCACCTCGAACCATGATGTAAATAATTTACATCGTGACCCAAACGTTAATAATGTTAAAGATTTGCATAATTTAGTTAGCTATATTTGTCAGAAATTATTGATAAAAACACACACTTCGCAAGCCATTAGAATTCTAACCTACGGAATAGAACGCCTTTTTAGTGAAAACGAAAATGAAATTTGCTGATAGCTGAATTCTAATCGGTTTGTGCGGAAATGTTTAATATTTAATCACAGTTTACAATAACATATTTCTATAATGCCTTTAATTATAGTTGCGAATACTTGACAAAACTCTTATTGTATAGCATCGAACGAGGAAGTTGTGTCGTAGTACTATGCACTCTGGACATAAATTATAAATACTACTTCATTAATTTAAATTTTATTAATACATTTTAATTATTTTCATTTTAAATATAATTCCTTGTCTGCTACAGTGCTCGGCTCATTGTTTAAAAATAGAAATATTACGCGAAAAAAATGGTAAATGATTAAATGCAGTTTGCAAATGTAAAATAAACAGTGATTATTGTTTTCAATAATGTTTCTGAACTGAAAGGCATTGAACCCGGAGAATCAGTTACTTTACGATCCCCTGAGTGTCCGTCCTGGGAGGTGGTATTGATTACATGGCTTTCCTACTGTGGCGTTTTCGAAGCGTCAAATGAAGGCTATCATGCAAGAGAATATTTTTTTCTTATACAAAAGAAAGGATATTTACTTTTACACACCAAAATTCACATAGTTAATTTGTGAAATAGTGTTTACAAGTTAACAAACGTTAATAGTGAAGTAGACAGAATGCTTCGAAACATGAAATGCTCTTATGTGCTATATTTTGCACCTTACCTCAAAATTAAAAGATTTGGTCCTCATTCATATTCCTCTGGTTTCATCAGCTTCTTCTATAACAGTCTTTCACCCGTTTTTCATTTTAATATATAATGTCAAGCATTGCGTATTGCCGTCTTGCAGGCGCACTGTACAGCCATAAGTGACTCGTGTATTTTCTTTGGTTATGAAAGACAGTGCTGCTACCTATGGAGCTTCTAATAACTGTTGTCCGCGCAATTATAAATGGATGTCTGACGCCTCAATTATTCTTTCTGAAATTATGAATTATCACATTGACAGGAGTGATAATTTCTTACTCATCAATTGAAAGAATTTAATAGGATAATTATGTTCACCAACAATTATTTACAGTACAATTAAAAACAGTGTGTAAATTTATTTTTATGAACTAATCCTGTGAATGAAATAGACGAAATGTATAGATGCGTGCAGTTGTACAAATATCTACACTTTAAAAAAATCAACAATTGTATTAAGAATTGAAACGTATTATCCTGTATCGTTAAAGAAAAATCCGAAATCTTTTTTAAATGCTTTTATTCAGACTGATTTGAAACGAATTTAGAAAAAAAATATTCAGAAATGAATTATTTATTCAAATTCATCGACAAACGAATTTCTTTTTTGTATTTGATTTCTCATGCCTGAATAATATTTTTATGGCGTTTAGAATTAACTATAGATTACAATATGGATAATGTATGTCGAAAAGCGTTTTTCTCTCTGTGAAGAAAATCATAATATAAGTTTTGTCAATGGTTGGCTGGAAATCTGAAAGAAGCCTACTCGCTATGCAAGTCTGTTCGCGATGAACTCTTCTGATGTGTTTCCAAAAAGTAACAAAATAATATTACAGCGAAAGTGAGATTGTTCTCTTTCGCCGTCGTTGACTATATGAGCTGATTACTTATTGCTCGAGCCTTTGATTAGTGCTGTTAACACTATTTTAAAAATGCGAAGCAAATTAAAAATTTGGAAGCTAAGCATTATTTGTGCGTGTCTATGGTGTACATGATACCACTCACTTGCAACTGAGTTAATAACAAACCCACCTAGAGCCCATCGATAATTAAATTTAATTAAATTAAACATTAAGAACGAATTCAGTCTATTAGCATGAGAGCATTTCTTAAGACGGCAAAAAAACTGTTAGAAAGGAAGATACGTGACACGGTATCTGCAATGCGTTACTCTGTGGCGTCGCCACATAGCGCAACGCGACATTATTCGCCGCAATTCGGGACCGAGATGAAAGGTGCTGAACGAAAAGCAGAAACTGCAAATCTTGGAGATCTGTTTCTTAAGAACGGGTCGTGGAGGTATGAGCCATTGCTACGTGACGTCATAACGGTGTACATCATGGCGGAGTGTAGTTTTGATAAGTTTTAAAGATAACACTGCAGGATTTAGGGTTAATCTCCTTCCCCCTCGTTTGTTGATGACATTAGTATGTAAGAGTCGATCATTTGGAAATTATAGCATGCAAAGTTTTGTGATTTGCATGTGATTTTTTCTTCATAAAGTTTAAGTTAGCTCAATTAATCGAGTGTCAAACATGAAAGTGACTTAAGTTGACATGTTTTAACATTTCTATCAGACTAATATTAACAATTTTCGTTTTTTTAAGAAGGTGTTGATTTATTAACCAGTTGGCATGCTCCTGTAATGAACATTTTGCACTGAGTTACCACGTTAGAATGAAAAATTGTGCACTTTTGATTTTTACTTTAAAGGATTTTAAGTACTGACTTATGTAGTGTGGATTTTTCCCGAAATGACTTCCCGCAAGCATGTCAGTTCACCGAATGTTAACAATTTCAAAGGTTTCAGATTTGGAGTGGTGAAAGAAAACATTGTTGTTAAATCTTTTGATGAAAATGATGAAAGGGTTGTTCGTGTAGGCACCCTTGTTATTATTCATTCAAAATTACTATTGGAGGACTTAGTAGTTTTCCAAGTTTTTGACAGGGAAGGAGATAAAAGTGATGAAACATTATGGGTGGGAGAAATTGCAAAAATGGTTCCAATTGTACGAGAATTAGTGGCACCTTTTCAAGCTGTCAGCTCACCTCTTCAGCGAGTACAAATATCTGAAAATGTTGCATTATGTAATCAACTAGCATGTATTGAAGTTGGTGTAATTGTGAACCTTACTCCTGATCTGTTCAGTGGTGGGGAATTATTTGAGCCAGAAATGTCCCTTGTTCGATACAAAGGCCCAGTCCCAGAACTAGGAGTTGGACATTATTTTGGTCTAGAACTTTTGGTAATTTTGTTTTAATTGAAAATTGGAATTCATTTTCAAGTAGGTTGCATTGTAGTTTGTTGGGTCCTCGATGGATTTGTATTTGTATTTGGATCTGTATTTTTGTTGGTGTTTATGTTCCTTCAGTGTTTATTCTGTGTGCTTCCTAATGTGTGGTAATGCTTAATAGCTTTTAACTAACTTCTTGCAAAATGTCTTATGCATAAATGTGTAGTTATTTGTTTAAAATGATGCAAATATAAAACATTTATAAGAACTATGATTAATGACAATCATTTTAATGTTTTATAGGTCAGTGGTGCTGCAGGGGATAGTGATGGTAGTATCTGTGGCAAGAGATATTTTACTTGCCAACAAAACCATGGTACTTTTGTTGCTTTAAACAGACTAGTTCCTTATCATAGAACTAAGAACAAAGAAGTAGATCATTCTCTCAAAGTTATAACTCACAACAAAGAACCGAGTACAAGTGAAGTAATTCCCATTTCAAGTGCTATCCTCATGCCGTCCAATGATAAAAGAGTGCAGCACCATGTTGAAAATGCAGACTCTTCCAGTTACAAAACTACTCTTGTGTTTCATCTGAAGGAAAAAGATAACATGCCCAGAAGTCAACCTCATAGGTTAGAGAGAACAGAGAAGCTTATTGGTAAGTGTGATGCCATTAGAAGATACAAAAGTGTAGGATTCTCGTGAACTTATTGTGCTGTAACTAATACATAGATTCATAGTCTATATTGAACAATGATCCAAAAAAGTAGCTAATATGATTTATTACCATAATAACTAAAATTTTATTAATATTCAGAACAAAAATATTGCAAGTAGGAAAATTTCCGAATGAATTTGAAAAAGATATAAAATATCAACTACTTCTAAAAAGCAAGAAGATTGATGGATGTACATAGATCACATACATTGTAGGCTGATAAACTGAATTCTTTAGTTGAGGCACTGGTCATTAATTGAATCTTAATTGTGTGTCTTGTGATAAAACTTTAATCTTGTATATTTCTGTTAGAATTCAATAGTTATTTTAAAAATATAATCAAGGTACAGCAAAACAGATTATAGGCCTAGGTGTGATTGCAGCTGACAAGCATTTTACCGTACTGGTCATGGATTTCTATTGTGGTTATTGTAGTATTTTTTGGTAGTACTTTATTTGTTATGATTTCGAATTGTAATAAAATGGTACAACTAGGATCAAACTATTTTTTAAGAAAATTTAGAAATCTGACCATAACAATAGAAATATCAATAATTGAGGTTCAATAGAAAATAAGAAAACGAGAGAAAAAAGTTGGGTCATTAACTATCAAGAAAAAAACCCTGTTTTGACTTGATTTTTAATAGATTTGGAGTCTGGTTGCAACACCCGTGATGTGGATAACACAGCACTTCGTGTAGGGGATCAAGTTGTGTGGTTTAGAGATGCTGAACCTGAGTACGCTACTGTCAAGTGGATTGGACATCTTGATAACTCACCTGACATTATGGTTGGAATTGACTGTGTATGTTTTTGACCTGGTACAGTTGAACTACACTTTGTTGGAAAATAACTTCAAACATTGTATTTACCTGTTTCCTGTTTTATAGGACAATCCTGTAGGAAATGGGACTGGAAGCCACGAAGATCGAGCATACTTTAAAGTAAAGAAAGATCATGCAAAATTCATACCTCTTGCCAGTCTTGTCAAGGCTGAGGATTTTTTACAAAAACCAGGAGGTAATTTCGTACAATTTTTGTGATATAAAATTAATTTGAACTAATTGTGTTTAACTAAATAAATTTCCTGAATATGTTTGAGTGTGTGAGTGAGAGTAATAAAATTCATTGCAATAGTATTCTTTTACATTATCTTTATATTTTTCTGTATTTACTTTCATAAACATTGAATTATTTAATTTTTTCTCTGATCACAAATATTACTCATATTTATAAACAGAAACTGTTCATAGCGTGAAAATCTTTTCTTTTTTTTCTTTCTTTTGTTCGTTCGTTAGAGAGTACAAAGAAATATAAATAAACACTTCCACGGTTAAACCATGGCCTAGTAATTCATTGAATTCTCCATGAGGGCCTACTATCCAACCAAAAAATATTTACTGCTTTCAGAAGTTTATGAACAACTTTTTGGTTATATTTATAATATTTTCTCTTGTTTTTAGAAAATCAATCTTAGTGATCTTTAATTTACTCTTTGGCATACTCTGATTATTTTGAAATGAAATGCGAAAAACAATAGAAACTTTGTCAATGCATGTTCAGCATAAGATTTTCTCCTCATAAAGGTGTTTACTTTCATTGCTTCTAGACCATGTGAAAAAGAAGGCAAAAAATTGGAAGTATATTGAGAATTGTGGCAGCCCTGCAACTCACCATTGCAGTGCCATTAGTGCTGAGCCTCCAATAATGAACTTGATTGATGTTCCTGACAACATTCCTAGTCCTTTACACAGTAAAGATAAACAGGACAATGGCCTGTGTAGGTCAGAGTATGTTTTCTCCGAGTCAGGACTGGAACCGGCAGGAACTAAAATGGACAATGGAGGCAAACATTTAGCTAAAGATTCCAGAAACAACAATCTCAAAAAATTCTGCAATGCATCTAATAATTATTTTGAAGAAGTGAGTCCAAGACATAGTGTACCTGTAGAAAATGTGATGCCAAGGCATTTGAGTGAGCAGGTACCTAAGAACAACAATGAAATGAAGTTAAGGCATTCCACAGTGAATGAAGTCCCTAGCCAAAGTGTGTTGTGTGAAAGTGAGTGGCCAGCCGTCAGTGACAGTGCTCCAGTGAGAGACAGACGTCCAAGAGCTATAGCTCCTGGAGGGAGACCTACCAGACTGAACAATGTAGCCAGTAAAGAACCTATGTTAGAAGTTGTTGGGGAAGGTTTGTTCCCTCCTCAAAGCAAATTAACTGGTAAGTACCATTTTTAATTGAAGAATAGTATGTGTATATTATGGGTCAATCCCTTTGATTAAATTCTTATGAACAAAAAGGTTATAGAACTTTGGCTCCAAATTTAGAAGAACTTCAACATTTCTACAATTTTTAAAAATATGTAATTTTGTGTGGTTAAAGTAGAGTACACAGTACACCTGCAGAGAAGCGTGGTGGAGGGAGAGGGAGGTCTCCTTAAGCCCTCCTTCAAATTACTCTTCACGCTCTGATATGAATGAAACTTACAGATACGTGATTTTCATGTCTCGCCCTTCATATGCTTTGTCCTGCACTTTAATGCATTTTAAAGTCAATTTGCTTTTATTTACTTACAATTAGCCGTCTTCAAACATGTGCTTGACAATGAAAAGAAAAGGATAGTTTCTTCTTTTCAATAAATAGAAAAGGATCTGATTTTATAGTTATATATAACTATAAAATGACAGTGCAGTGTGAGTGTGTGAAGCAAAACTAATTACGTGAAAGAAAAAAAAAATGAATGATGGAGGAGGAAGGGGGGGGGGGAATTTATTCTCAAAAAATCATATCAGGAAAAGTTATTGTCATAAGGGACCCAGTTGCCACAGTAACCCAATGATATTCTGATTATGGGGTTTAAAGGTGTAATAAGTAGTTAAGTGGTGCAATACTTCAACAGTGCAAATGGCACCAGTGCCTATACCATACACAGTATTGTTTCAGAAAATGAACATTCTTTGATCAATCCGGTTCGTCTTGACACTAAGCATTTGACATTCGACATCCTAAGAAATTGACTTTTTAGGTTTTTTGGAAGTATGTATCAAGAAGCACATAGAACATATTCAAATGATTCTCAACAGTTTTACATTTTATTCTTTAAATTTCTGGGCGGAAATGGATCAAAGAGCATTTATAATCATGATAAAAGTCAACATTTTTTTTAAATCTCTAAATTTTAAAAGTTGTAATTATTGAAGATACATTGTGTTTTTTTTCTTAATGATATCTTTTCAGTTTTCCAAAAATATACAAAATCTTGAATTAATAAACAAGATTTTCTCAAAATCAGGTCCATGTTCTCATTTACTTTTTGTTTTTAGAAAGAGAACAGCACACAGAATAATGATATGTGTTATTTTACCTTTAAAACATGACATAACATTTAAAAAATGACACAAAAGGGTACATGATTGTTTCTCTCAAGGTTAAGAGAGGCATATGCATTATATTGCAAATTGTTTTTTAAATGAACCCAACAATGAATTGAATGGCTAAATGTATTATTGAAATTATTATAGTTTTCTTTGAAGCCCTATTTGTAAATTACAAAGTTAGTTTTACATAATTTTAAAATGAGTTTTTTTATAATAATAAGTGCAAATGATTTTTTTAGTTTAATAGACTCTAGCATTTCAGGAGCTCTTTTATATTGTGCATAACACTAGATGTTTTTTCATAAATAGACACTGTCCTATGTAATGTTTTAGATTCATTGTGTTTAATAGCTCTGATGGTTGTATTAAATGGATGCATGCAAATTTATTTTCAGTCCCAAAACTCGTTAAAATGGAAATCACACTTTGCAAGTGAACTTCCAGTCAGAAAGACTGTATAGATTCCAGCAGAAATATACCCCTCCTAATTTCTTCTCTGATTTGAGTCATCATCCATGAACAGTTACTGTTTTTCGACTAAATAGATCTAAATCTATATAAAACAGTCATCTGAGCTGTGAACTGATGATTTGACTAGCATTACTGCCATGATAGATTAGCCAGTTTCATGGCAATTTAAATAAATTTAAGAGAGGTGATACACTTTTTAAGGAAGAGATTCATTGTATTCAATGGTAAAACGCAATTACTTATGGGACTTTATGATTAATTATGTGATTTTTTGATGAGTTAGTAGAAGCGTATGTTCTGCCTGAGTGGATAAACAGGATATGCCAATGCTTAGGGCTAGATGGAGAGCTCTAATAAATTTTTAACACACTTAATTGGTTCATAAGTTTAGAAAAATATTAAAAAATCAGTTTTTAAATCACAAAAGTTGCTGTTAATTTTCATATTATTTTGATTGTATGTGTGTTTAATATTTCAATGTTATTAGAATTTCTAGACTAAGCAGAGCAAGTGAAATGTTAATGACTTTCTCTAAACAGATTGCCCTGCAAAATGTTGACTTACTAAATTATTTAATCAAGTATCAATGTTTCTTTATGTTGTAATAAAATTTTTAATTAATTTCATACATTAAAAATCAGATCATGCAGAGCTGAGGAATAAAATTTCATTACAAAGGGAAATGTCATAATACATATAATTAGTCATTAGATCATTATCGCTTAATGTTGTAAGTGATTAAATAAATATATATCATTGACAAACTACCCAATAGACATGCATGTAAGGATTTTTGATAATTGTGTGTTTGTATGTAATGATTATGTAGTGGACAAGATACTGATCAAAATGTGTTCAGAATGAAGTTGCAGTCTTCAGATGATTCATTATATTTTAAAATGATTCAACTTACATAGACCTAATAATGTGAAATGTAGAGTTTTGCATTGTAAGAAATGTATGTAAAAATTTTGAATTGAATTAATGTATGAGTTAATATGAAAAATACCAATTATTTATGTACTGCAAAAGAAGTTCCTCAGACATTATTTTGATCTAAATTTTTTGCCTAATTTCTTGTTATGCTACAAGATATTACTTTAAAGTAATTACTGGTTCATTTTATCAAAGAAAATTTTCTAATGTTTGTTCTCTTTTGCTTCCTGCTTAATTCATACTAGTTTCTGAGAAAAAGTAAACAGTTTTCTTCCAACATACCAATTCATCAAAAAGTTTTTAAAATTGTATATATGCGTAGTATTATAAATATTATTGATTCCATTAGATATTACAGTGAAGTTACTATGATGAAAGATAAGAAAGTATTAATGCTTTTCATTTTCGTACAATTATTGGAAGTGGAATATTAGAGAGATGTTATAGAGGCTCTTACAAGTTAATACTTAAAGGTGTTCGAACATGTTTGTTTCATTGGATTCTTTGTATTCATTTACCCATGTAGATTTTATTTGGTCTTAATGCTCTGAAACTGATCTCTTTCTCAATTCTTGGTGTGAGAGTCACTTACCTTTCATGAACGTCGTCTAAAGAACCACATTTTTAGGTTATGAACATGTTTACATTTTAATGAAATATATAATCTCCTGCTCTGTATTATATGTTGATTGAATATAGAGTTAATAAATTTAAAATGCTCCCTGATGGAATTGTATTGACAGACAGGAACAGTCAGGCTGATAGAGTTAGGCACAGTGCCAGAATCTAGAGGATCATGCTACCAATGTTTACAAGTAGTTTTTTGATTCCTAACTGCTTTGTTGGATGTGTATTTTAAAATCATTACTCTCTGAGTTTTTTGTGCTAATGGTGTAAATATGAGGGAAAGATTTTCATGAACTGTCTCTTTCTAAAGGTAGCAGTTTTTGTGACTCCTAAATATAGCTGCAGAGTTTAAAATAACTGCTAGGGAACCATCAGAGCACGCATGCTGGGCTGTTGAACTGATCTCCCCCATCTTGGAAAGGTGTAGTGTTGTGCTGATTACTTGGTGCTTTCCATCAGGTGTAAAGTGTTATTCTTTAAGTGTATTATTACATTGTTCTTAAGAATTAGAATATTGCATCATGTGTAGTAATTAAGTAGTATAAGGTGACAGAAGTGCAATGGTTTTGTTTATATAAGGCCATTTTAAATTATGAATCTGCCAATGAAATATTTTCATTTACTTTTTTAATATTTACATTACAGCATTATATTAATAATTGTGTTCTGTTCTGACTTGTTGGCTCTTGAGTTTTGTAAAACCACTTGTTCAACTCAGGAATGCTTCTTTTAGACTATGTGCTTGTTCTTCCTACCTCCTTAATTATGTGCTTCAGGGCAAAGGGCATTAAATATTGTTGTTTTGTCACAAAAAGACATGTGATCAAAATTGCAAAATAAATTTTGTAAAGTTTTATTACTTTTTTCTCTGCACCAGTCGCAATATTCAATCAGAAAGTAAATGCATTTTCAGTACAAATAATAATGAATATTTATTTGCTCTTAACATTCAAATTTCACGTTTCTAGAGGCTAACGACACTTTCTTATCTACAAGTCCCAGTGCTAGCAGTGATGGGAGTACTGGGTATGAACATCTTCCTGATTCTCCAAATGCTAAAGAACCTACAGATTTGGGTGTAGGATCTGTGGTGGAAGTCTTAGTTAATGGTTCACCACGGTATGGTGTGATACGTTGGATTGGAGTCGTACCAGAAGATAAAAGAAAAGGAAGAAAAGTAGCTGGTATTGAAATGGTAAGTTCTACTCTTTTCTGCTTGACAAATTTTTTCTCATTGTGTGTTTTAGTGTGTTTTTTTTGTGTGTTAGTGTGTTTGTCTCGTAGTGTTCATGTGTTTTGGCATTATTTATAGGAGGAAGAGCATGTGGGCCTCAGTGATGGAACATTTAATGGTCGACGGTACTTCCAGTGTAACCCAAAGAAGGCAATGTTTGTGGGTCTAAGTCAGTGTCAGAAAGATAGTAGGTTTCAAGATATGCACCCTTACCAAAATGACACCAAAGCAAAAAGTGAGTATGAAATAATGAATGTTTTATGGATTTTGTAGCTTTTAAAATAGGTGTAGTATTCTCTAATGGCTTTTTAAATGTTGTAGACTTTGGGCATGAGATGTGTCCTGTTATCCCTGGTGTTGTAAAACCTCTTTGTTGGAAAGATGATTCTGAGGCTCATTGTGGAAAATTCAAAGGAATTCAAGGCCATCACAATTCGTGTTATTTAGATGCTACCCTTTTCAGCATGTTTACTTTTACAAGGTATTCTCTTTCAAAGAATGGAGTTTAAATGTTAGTAGAATTATATTTTTGAAAGATGCTGAAAGTATTTGTGTTGCAGTGCTTTTGATGGGTTATTATTCCGACCACCTACTGGAAATGATATTGAGCAGTACGAAGAAGTACAACGAGTTTTACGAGAAGAAATAGTCAATCCTCTTCGACGAAACTTGTATGTTCGAGCAGATAGAGTAATGAAATTAAGAACTTTGTTGGAGAATTTGAGTTCAGTGACTGGGCTAACCAGTGAAGAGAAAGGTATGTGCTACAGCACAGTTTAAAATGGACCATTGTGTAGTGTAAAATAAAAGTGTGCATTATTGCAGGGTGTAGAATATACCATAGAAATTGTGCCATTGTTGAGTAAAAATGAAAAACCAAAATATTAACAAAGATCATTTCTTTTTTCTTTTAGATCCAGAGGAATTCTTGACATCTCTTGTAGCTCAGATACTTCGAGCTGAACCTTTTCTGAAATTGAGTTCAGGTCAAGAAGCTTATCATTATCAGTTGTTTGTGGAGAAAGATGAACAGTTAACAATGCCATCTGTTCAACAACTTTTTGACCAGAGCTTCCTGACCAGTGACATAAAGCTCAAAGAAGTAAACTTTCATGTTTCTTGTGTAATATTATATTATTAGTGTTGTGTTTTTTGTATGACTCATCACAGACGTCATTTAATAGATTGTTTGCAATTTATTATATATGAACATTATTTGTCAGTTGGACCCCAGAATTTTTACCTTGCTTGAAACTGAATTATTCTAGAATACTACCAATATAATCTTAATATCGAAATTATTTTCATACATGAATGTGGTTTGAAAAATATTGTTGATATTGTAAGTTCTAACTTTTATCAGAATTTATTTTTCCAAAAGACATTGAACTTATCAACCTGCATTGGAAATTTTTCTTAAAATAAAATTTTAAGCCTCATGTTCATAGGTTTGAGTTTATTCAAATCCTTTACTCATATTTACACATCAATGTTGTTTTTCATTTTTTGTATCAACAATAAAATACTGAAATTACACTGAGCTTGCAAATACTTAATTTATAGTATAGGACTTAAAAATAACTAAATTTTACTTCAAGATCCTCATAGCTCTGTATTGGCAATTTGAATACATGATTCTGTTATTTTGTTTTAGTTTTCATACATATGCCAATTGAGTGTCAGTATAGCACACCATATTTTTAAATTTAATTGTGGTTAGTAATCTTTGAAGTCATTTTAAAGAATCCTCACCTCAGTGCATTGTGGTAGGTAAAGAAGAGATCAAGTGTGTGTGAAACATTAAGTCAACAAAGCAGAGTGCTAAATTATGTATACTTCTGAAACTTAAAAAATTTTAACGGAAACTTGAAGAATTTTAATATCTCAGTAAGCGATGTTAATTAATAGTATAAAGTCAGTACAATGAAGACAAAGAATTAGTTGTGAATTTCAAGGTGTTTTCATAACAGTGGATAAAAATTCATAGCCTTAGTTAATATATTTTTGAACATTCTTTTATAATCCCCTGAAAAGTAGAAATAAATGCAAACAATATAGACAATCTAATATTTGAATTATGAGCTGTTTTTCCGCTGAGGAAATACTCAATTTTGAAGAAAAAGCTTTCTAGAAAAATCAGTTGATAACTTCTTTTTTTGGATTATAAATTCTTCAGTAATATCAAATTAGAAAGAGCCTTACTGTATTAGTTCAAATTTCTTATAGATATTTGTGTTTTGTTTGTTTGTTTTTCTTCATATAAGCCTCTGTTTGAAAGTTTTTAACTTATAGATATGTTTTTCTGCCCTAAGATGTTTTTATAATTAAATGAACTGGGGAGTTTTATTGCTGATAGATTTTACTCTTATTGTTTGTTTTCATTATATTATTAACTTTTGCTCCTATTTTTGTGACATTTCATGTATTGTTTTGTTTTAGGTGCCATCCTGTCTTATTATTCAAATGCCTAGATTTGGAAAATCATTCAAAATGTATCCACGAATCCTGCCTACACAGTTGTTGGATGTGACTGATATTATTGAAGATTGTAAGTACACTATTTTAAAATTTCTGTCAATGACTGGAAACTTACGTTGCATAATACTCCTCATTTTATCACAGCATTCATTATAAGTTTTTTTTATGAGCTGCTTTCAGTACATTTTGGTTCAGTAATTTCATACACCTAAAAACATCTGCCCCTTCAGTATGGTTATTAATGTCATAATCTTCCATTTTTTTCATCTTATATCTGTTGGATGCAAGTCTGGGAAATAATTCCATCACACAGAAGCACTGATTTTATGTTGATGGTTTCATATAAATTGTCAAAGCTGTCATTTATCCTCAGCAAATTTCGTATACAGAGGATATTTTATCTTCTTAGTGCATAAAAATAGTTGTAAGTGTGTGTTCCAAACAAATTGATGATCCACAAGCAATTCCTCTATAATTTTGATGAATTATTTTGAGCAACTGGGAAGAAACAGGGGGCGGAGGAGTATGCACTTAAAAATGTTACTCACAAACGTGTTTTTGTTCAAAATTTGGTTCAAAGCAATCGACAGTGCATTTAGGTAGCATTGTTACATACGCAGGAGGAATTAGGGGGTGAGGACAAGTGGGGAAAGGGAGGCAGAAACAGGTCAAATGGACGAAATAGGGGAGGCTTAGAAAGTGGGTGGGGTGATAAATTTAAATAACTGGTCCATGCAAGATAATAAAGTATTATATCCAAATAGGTATGTGTTTCCAGCCCAACATAACTATAAACCCTAGAGAAATTTCATATGAACTTGGAACCCCTAACTTACAATAGGGAAAATATTTCTGTGGGAAGAAATCCCTAGGAGGAGTGGGAAGAACTGAACATTTACTAACAAATTGGTCTTGCAACACGCAATGAGAAATATGGGATCTGAACGTAAGAAGACAGAGCAAGCTTTGCTATTTAAAGATGATTGTGATTAATAACTTCCTGAACAATGACAGTTAATCAACTGTGTGTAAATAAAAGAAAAGTGGAGAAAAGTTTTTTCAATGTCTTATAAGTAAAAGAAAAGTGGTAGAATAATCATGAATTATCATGTGCTATTGAAAGCACCATTTTGCCTTGAGGCTAAAATGGGGAGAGATGGCTCAGGGTATCAACTGATAACATTGCAATCCCTCTGACCATGAGGTCGTAGGTTTGAGACCCAACGGTGGCAGGATTTTTGCACTAGCTTGAATGAGGTCGAATTCGTTCATTATCTGGAGGAGAATTCTAGCATCCGGCTGCTCTGATCGATAGTTTTTTGGGGTTCCTCCTATCAACGCCAGGTGAACGCCAGAGCAATACTCTAACAAATATGCCACAGACTGTGAACAATCTTTCCTAGTTTTCCTTGCCCTATACTCACGCCTTACACACACTTACACTAACATGCACCACACACGCCGGGAGACTGGTTGGGAGTTTAGAGCTTGTTCTGGCTGGGCCAGTGTCCTATTGGTGGGAGATACCTGGTTGAGGAAAACCCTGTTAGCTGACAGTAGGTCGGTGCCGGATCTCGCCATACAGCGGGGAAAGACCACCGCCACTTACCGAGAGAGAAAAAGCACAACACTTACGGGACTCATTACCCTAGTAGTTGAAGTTCCTGGAACAATTAATCAATCAACGCAGAGGCTAAGCACTACTTTCTGTTAAAATATTAAATAGCATTTTAAATCACCATTTACACAAAATCCTGAAAAGTATATTAATACAGTTGAACTGCCAGTACTCATTTTTGATTTTGGGAGTTATGAGGTATGAAGTTGTATAAATCTTCTTATACTTCTGAATTTGTTGCCAAATTCTAGAGATCTATAGTTCCTTTTGTGCATTCTTTGGTCTTCTAATGTTTCATTTTTCTGTAGGTGTGTGGTACTTGCTTTGTATTTCTGAAATCACAACTCAGTGTAATAGGTTGTATTTGTGGCCATAAAAATTATTTATTCAATTGTTGTTTTTATTGTAAATATGCACTAGGTACTAGCTGCTGGTTTATGCTGTATTTGCAAATTGGAATACAAAGGGTTTTTGTTACCTCTCTTGTGTTATAAGGCCCATGAGCCTTTTCAAAGGGATTTTCAATGAGCATTGTAAGATCTGACTTCTGAATTGTGATTACTGCATCATTAATATCAAGGTCAGAAACCAAAAAATCATAATGAAAATGAGTTTCATGAATAAAGAAAGTTTCTATCATAGCAAAACCAGATAATGTTAGTTATTTGGAATTGACTTCAAATTTTGTTTGATTTTCTACTGTTCCTTTCTTCTCTTCAGGCAGTCTGTAGTGAAGGGTTTAGATATCGCACGTGTCAACACTGGAATTGAAATTAAATTCTTCATTAAACCATATGGAATTGATGTGGGCAAATTAATTTACGGGGGCTCGGGATAGAAAAGAGTGTTGGAGAAAACAAAAATTACAGTAGTCACTAAATTTTAAAGTATTTAGTATTTCAAATAATTTACTTTCTTACATTAACTTATTATATTTAATAAATTAATTTATATTGTTCATACTTGAAAATTGGGCAACTATTGTAATTTTAGTTTTCTGCAACATCCTTTTCTATCCTATTCCTACTATATACTACTACTGTTAATATAATACATTAATGTACATTATATTACAAGTTTTCTTGATGTTCTCCTGTATTCCCCAGTCTCATTAAGTCATTGCTCCATTTCAGTAAGATTGCCCAAGATGGGAGCAGAACTAAGAGATATTGCATAACAATTTGAGACACATTATGATTGAGGATTATGGGTTTATTGGAATTAAGACTAAAAACATTGTACTTGATACATTTTAATATGTTATAATGATCATGAATTCTTTTTGCTTTCCAGCTCCACGGCAGTGCACTGTTTGTGGAAAACTGGCAAAATATGAATGTAGGGAGTGTTTTGGACAGTGCGGAAGTGGTTTGGAGAGCATTGCATTTTGTACAAAATGCTTAGAAACAGTAAGTATTTTTATAATTGATTTTTGATTATATTCAATATTATCCTTCTCTAAATGCATCTGTTCATTGACAGGCACACAGCCATCAGCGGCGTGGCGGACATGCTTGGCGTAAACTGCAAGTGCCAGTCGAGTATTCAATCCTTCAAGATCATTGCCACATTCCACGACTTTATATGGAACTTTTTGCAGTTGTGTGCATTGAAACATCACATTATGTTGCATTTGTGAAGTGCGGTAGTGGAGCGGATGCCCCATGGTGCTTCTTTGACTCAATGGCTGATAGAAAAGGTATTTTTATGTTATATATTATTCTAACAGAATGTTAATTGGGATGCTGTTAGTTATCTATATCAACTCTTTCAATTGCATACTAAGCAGTGCATGAAAAGAAAAGAACCATTCACTCACTTGCTCATTGGTAAGACTAATGTGAATTGTGGCATAATTTCTACATTAGTCTCTAATTGTAAAACAATTTTTTTTTTTTCTGAGACCAAATACAGGCTTGTATGGATTGAATGCTAATGTGATCGTAAAACAACTGGAAATGGAAGGTTGAATGTGAGTCTTCACGATAATGTGGAGAATTAAGATGACTTAGATCAATATTAAGAATAGCTTGGTAGTAAAATGTGAAGATAGTTAATATTTATCTTAATATCTATTATCAACACTGTCAACCATGTGTAGAAATTACCTTGGTGTTAAAATAGATCTTTAGTATTGGCAAAATTCCAAAATATTCTTGGAAGCTGTTTTCAGCACTCCATCATGCAAGGAATTTATAAGGTGTATATGAAAACTGTTTTGACATTATATAATTTTGATTATTTGCAGAAGTTTGTAGAGTAGAATTTTTAATGATAAATTTCTTTTAATTGTAATTTAACACTCACTAAAATTCATTTACAGATTTGTTGATAAAAAATGTAAGGGTTCCAGGAAGGTAAATTTAGATCTGATACTTTGCATTTGTTAGTGGCTTTTTAGATTCAAGGAAAGAGATATCACAAATACATGAGGACAGTATAGTGTTTGTCTTATTACTTGTAATAATTAGCTTTTATTCATCCTTATCAATAATTTTTGTTGTCTCTACTATTACATCCTTTATGGATCTTGTGAAGAATCAACCCTTATAGTAAATAAATTAATAGCAATAAAAATAATTAAATATTATTTTTAACTACCATATTAATCCCTTTATTTTGTGTTGCATATTATTTCTTTATATGTTTTATAGTTGTATTATCTAGACAATACTGTATAGTATTCTTTACTTTTGAATATGCTTTAATGATCTAGCCCTAGCCATTGAGGATTTACCTCACATTCTCAGTCCTTAAATAGCAGGATGTTTTATTGCTCTTCCCCAACACTGGGATTGGAGCAGATGATACGGAATCTATTTAAAGATTCATATTATGCTAATACCATCATTAGTTACGTATTTGTTAAGGCTCCATTTAGAATTAAAACCACAAAATTGTGCTGTGATGCATGTTTAGTCTGTGATCTGTTGTGACAGGGGAGCAGAATGGCTACAACATCCCGGAGATGGTTCTGTGTCCAAAACTGCCATACTGGCTATCAGATGAAGGAGCCCTTTCCTTGCGGGAGGTTAGAGACGACAGGCTGTTACCCGAGCATGCCAAGCGCCTTTTATGTGATGCATACATGTGCATGTACCAGAGTCCAGATGTTATGATGTATCGATAGAAAGAGGAGTGATCTGCAATCTGGTCTGATATGCCAAGGTATGGTACAGTGATCTTGATGGTATTTATTTATTTCTGTAATAAATCTGGTATTTTGGGCAGTACATTAATTTGTTTTGTCTATTCATACAACTCTGTATTTATGTATCATAGTGTATGCATATTCTGTATGTATGTAAATTTTCAACATTCCCGTAATTTCTTACAAATCTTATAAAGTAGAAATTCTCCTCACTAATGTGTAATATGATCAGAAACACTTTCTATTTATTTATTGTTGAATTGTAATTAAAAAAATTAAGTAGTTATTGACTCATTGTATGTGTTTGGCTTTCTGAAGAAGTATTGTCTTTTAAAATTGTTTTTATAAATCACTGTTGGAGAATGGAGCTCAAACACAGATGATATCATTTTATATTTGCACAAGCTATGTTCAGTGTCAAATGAGCTCAGAAGAACTTTGATATGGTTGTTAAATATGCAACATCAAAACAAGACCAATAAAAACATATGTTGGCCTATGTGTAGTTTCCTTACTTTGGGAACCCCTATCCTTCCCTAGATTGGTGCAGATTTTTAATATACAAATTCAGCAGGTCTAGTTAGTTGAACAGTTGTAGATAGTTGAATCTCATCAAAACACAATCAGGTTTGAATTACAAAATTAACTAACATGGTAACTAAAAGTTTTCAAAAGTTCCTTTAATGTTTCTATTCCACCTCTAAAACATTTTCTCATTTGTGAATGTGACGATTCTTCTGTCTTTACTTTCTGTCTTTTCTTTCTTACATTCTTTCTGTAAGTATTGTAGATTTATTATTATTATTATTAATTTTTTTTAAAACCGCATCAACATCTAGGTCATTACTCACCACTATTGCATTTAATGGTATGGTAACTGTGAGGATGACATGATATTGTGATGATACGGGGGTGAAAGGACGAACACAAATACAACCATGCTCGAGGCGGACTCAAACCTGCAATCCTTCGGTTCGAGATCGCTATGGCACTACTGCCTTAACGATTTCGACCATCTGAACCAGCCTTGTAGATTTCCTTGTTGGCATTTATTTAATATCAGTACTTACAAGATAGAAACTAAAATTGGGGGCAGAAACATTGATCTTCAAATAATTAATGTTTTCTTTCATAAGAAATACTTTTTTTTAAAGATGTTCATTTTGAGTCATGATTTTCTTGTGCATCATTCAGACCGTTGATTAATTTTTTCCATTGTAGAAATATGATGCTGAAAATTCTCACTTTGTATTTTGCCACTCATACAAAAATATCCTATGAGAAGTTAAGTTGTAAACATATTTTGAATTAATTGATAAAATCAGCAGCAGCATTGCAGCAACATTCAGATTTATGAGATGTAGGATTGCTGCAGTAAACTTTTCTCAAAAAGATCTTAATTGAGATACTCTTTTAAGTTTATTAAATTAATGATTTAAAATTTAGTTTTTATTTATACTTGCACAGAAGATCTGAAACACAAAGATGAGAAATTCACTCTTGAGATTTACTTCAGAGAGATTTTTTAGAGAAGGTTCTTTGTTAAAAGATCCTAATTATGATAATATTTGTCTTAGTTTGAAGGCTTTAATATGTACTTTAAAAAAATGAAAATTCTATTATTGAAGAAATTAATTTTTCTTTTGCATAAAAGGATTCAAAAACTTAAGGCCAAGAAAACACTTTTGTTGAATGCTCATTGATTAAAAAGTTTTACTTCATTTTAGTTGAGGGCAGTTATCACCATCTTACAAAGTAAAGCCCATTGCAAACAGGAAAGTTGACTCATAAAACAAAAAATCCTGTGGAAAAATTGATACATATTTGATTTTGATATTTGATATTTGAATGAAGAATTCGAATGTTGCTATGTAGTTTTCCTTTCGATTTAAAACCTTGAACTGAACTTTGAATAGAATTTATATTGTTTCTTGGGAAAACGTGAACATAATTTGACAAACTGCTACAGAAAGATTGAAAAACATTTATTCATAATGAGGTACTTTTTTGCCAGAAGAGATTGTTAAAACCACAGAAATCTTTACATTATAATTGAATTAAAATTACAATTTAAGTGTTCATTGGTAATTTGCATTCATTAGAGTAACTAAAGCAACCATAAACTAGAGGTGCTAAAAAAGCACATACTTTCTCACCTCTTAGTAATGGTTATATAATAATATTATACCCCAAATCAATTAAGCAAAAATATATGGTTTATGAGTTATTTTGCTTATTTGAGCGTGATTGTTTTTTCTTGTATTTTAACTATAATAAATCAAATTCATAAAAATTATGTATTTGTTGTTTTAAAACAGGCATAAAATATTCAAAAGGCTTGCATGGACGTAAAGCATCAGAAAGACCGGAAGGGGTATTAACTGTATTATTACATGTTTAGTTTCATGTTCATAAATGCACAGCAATGAGCTAGTAAACCATAATTTTTTTTTCACTGTGTCTCCAAGATATTCTAAGTTAATTCTTAAACGTTTCATTCTCTTTTTTCAATTTTTCTTTCATGTAAAGTACGAGAAATAATGCTAATATAATCCAAATCCAACCAATTCAAAGAAAGCGCCAGTGGTGCATACCTGTATTTATTTCAATAGCCAGGAAGAGTAAGCATTTCTAACTTTTTACAAATGAAACATACCGTAATCAGCGACCAAACTTTCTTGAAGTAAAGAATTGTGTTTGTCAGTTCTAAGTTAAATGTATTATCTTTTTTCAATCTACATTCTTTTGTAAGAATAGCAATATCTTCCCAAATTATGTTCACAAAGCGCAGGACATTCAAAGCAGGCAACTATATTTGATGCCAAATCGCACACAAAATACTCATATTTTTAAAAATGTCAACGTGACCTTATTTGAAGATCTGTTTTTTATGAACACATTTCATTAAGAAAAAAATGTATATCTTCACAAATGTTGGTCGGGAGACGGATAAAATTAAAAATTTTTGTAATTAAAACAAATCAGAGTATTCAATGAACATGAGACTTGCACATTCTCTTAAGCGTTCTTAATACTACACTACAAAAATATTTAATCAAAAATGTAGCTGTTTTGGGGAAAATAAGTGTTTAGACAAAATTAAATATTGCCTATATTTCATGCAAATTTTCGTGAAAAGTATTCAAACTGTCGAAAAATTGTACATGACATTATTGCAAAATCTATCTTTAATGAACATATTTCATTATGGGAACATATCTCTTTCTTTAATATTGTAGCTGTAGGAAAACTCCGGAAAAATTTTGAACTTTTGCAATTTTCAAAAAAATGAGGGTTTTTAACAAAATTGAGACTTGCACCATTTTCTTAAATGTCCTCCACACTATCCCACAAAATTTAATAAAAAACACTGGAGCCATTACTTTGGAAATAACCCAGAACCTCCGTGTAAAGTACTCCCCAAAATTAAAATATCTGTTTCAAATTCAAGGGGCATCAGTCAGATCAATTGGGGAATATCAGGTTTGGAGAAAATCGGCTGAACAGTTTAGCCACTAGCATTGTTCATAGACTGACACCATGTATTTCCACCAAAAGACAGACGGACATTTTGCCGTCAATCAATTTTTCGGTATCAAGGACCCACGAAACATGGATTCTGGCTGCCCCACGTGTTAGAGGATTTTTTTCTTCTAAATTTAGCAAGTGGTTGTGTCTACTTTTTAGTTACCAGGGCCTGGTAATTAAAGTTTTTCTGCAGAAAATTTGCCTATTACATTACATGACTTTCTCTTTACTGTGTAAGTGGTTGCGAAAAAGTAAAAGTAAATTAAACTTTTTAGGCTTGAAAATATAGGTGCTTGTTAGAAACATCCAAGCATTTTCAATAATTTCTACAACTTTCATAATCATAACAGTAATAATAAATTATTTGCTGAAGTGAAGTCATTAAAAGGTCTTCACTAACTGAAGCAACCATTCCCAGAAGACAACTTCGACACTCTTTGAGGAGTAAGGAGCGGTTAGGGCTTTACTGTCGACCTCAAGCAATTTCAAATTCAGTGACTTCTACTACCACTGTAAATAATAGTAATATTAAAAATGTTGATCATGTATTGTAATATATTATTTTGCGTGGTGATGATTTGATGTTTTGAAAAACTGAATCTGCATGCATAAGTAATTCCATTGAGAAGCTGCTGTCTTCTGATCTTTAAATAATTTCCTTTTTATATCAACTATCACCATCATTATGAACAGCCTAGAAATGGACCCTTTGAATTGTTCCTTGGTAGACCTCATTTACTAACAAGATTTTTCTAAATTCTTCTCTTCATACTGTCTTATCCTTTCTTCTTCTAATGGAATTTAATTAAGAATTTGTTTTTGTATTGATTGCTTCAGTTTCTTTATCCAAGAACATGGCTATTTTCTCAAATCACTTCTCTCTTCATGACAATCCTTGGCTTGTCTCTGCTTGATACATTCAGTGTGTGTACATTCCTGTTACCCTTCTACTAGCACATGACTTGAAAACTAGTAAATTACCCTAATTTTATCTTGGTTTTGGTTTTACTCTTTCCTCTCTCAGATATCCTCTCCATCATGTAATGAACTATCACTAGATTTGTGGGGCATACAGTGTTCCTCACGTTGCATATCTTCAACTTATTTCTGCTAGTCTTAAAATAATACGATTCATAGAATATATTATAGGCAAATATTCTCAAAGAAAGACTTGGAAATAAAAACAAAAATATGAAGTCATTTACAGCTAAACGGTAATAAAAATTAGTAATGTTCCTTTCCTGGGTACAGAGACTGGATAAGAGAACAGTCTGTGATAGAAGAAACTGAAATTCTTGATCATGCTTATAAATTAAGGAGCCTCATTCTTCATAATTGTGTCTGCTCTTTAAAAAATGTCACTGTATTTTTTTAACACTTAAAAAAAAAAGGTTCTGGATTTAATATAATTAGTGCGATCTTCAACGCACCAGCGCACAACGCTTGATAACCCAAAGTATCTCAAGTTGCTTAAATTTAAAAACATAATTTAAAATAGGAAAATGTGAGTTTTAAATTTTAATGCCTTTGGATTATGCTAAAACATAACATTGTGTTTGTAACATCAATGATTTAATTTATTACTCAAACTGATACTTTCAAAGAAAAATATTACAAGTTTGTGTCGTTTGTAAGAATGGAGGAGAAAATACAATCAAGTCTAAAATGTATTCCAAATTACATGAGTTTCATAATTCATAATACTTTTAAAAAGAAAAGTAGATATTTATAAGATATTCTTAATATTATAGCAATTTGTGGGAACAAAATTTGTTAACTAGTTTCCCATGCAGTTGTTTTTGGATCAGCATTTATTTCATTTTTTAGCTATATATTCCCATGAATTAAATACTCACCTGAAACTAATGATGCTGCAAGAGCACATACATTATTGTACCGTGGTATCACTATAATGGTTACATAATATTGTAATATCCATAACCATTTTTTTAAATTCAAAACTTCAAATTAAAATGGCTTTTGGCCCTTCAATACCGTGCTCTAGTTCTATGATAAGAGTAAAGAAAGGAGGAAGAAAAAGCCCAGCCACAGATTTGAACTCATGCTAAGGACCACTAGGCAGTTCTCTGACATTACAGAATCATGTCACAAGCCATTTAAAATACTGTAAAAAAGTTTCGTAATATTGCAGTGATAATAACATGTAACTTAAAATTATGCAAAAACTATTAATATTTTAAGAAAGGACAAAGAATAGAAGTTTTTGAATCATGATTTTACTAAAAATTATTTGTATTGTATAAAAGTACACTTGACATTACTTAAAGACAAAATTTTGAAGAAGAGATTCCAGCAAGAAAAAATTCCTATCTTCACTAATGTATTTTTAAATGACTCCAGAAAAATTTTAAACTGTGTTTTTGTAAAATCCAGAAGATTAACTGCAAATTGGACATGTATCATTTTGTAATGCATTCTTTTTCTCTATTCATGCAAAAAATTTATAGAAAAACCTTTTTATAATTTTTTGAGAAATTATTCAAACGTCCTGTTGGCTTCTTGTAAAGTACCCCTAAAGCAAGAGATCAGTTTAAAATGTGAAGAGCCATGACAGTCAAATCGATTAGGGAATATCCATTTTGGATAAAGCCCTGTTTGTGGGTAAAGTGCTATTGTTATTCACGGAGGAACACGTGAGAAACTATGAAGTCGTAGGTTTCCGTGGCCGGAGTCATGTGAATGATCTTGGCTATGCGGGTGTCGTCGCATTGAAGGCTGTGTTGCCAATGTTTTGATCATCTTATCGTGGTATTCCTCAGAGCTGGTCTGTGGCGAAGAGCCCTGAGGAAGACCACAATAAGGTGGTCGAAATGTCGATAACACAGCCTTCGATGTGGTGTCACCTAGACAGCCAGGATCATTCACATGAGAAACTAGTGGTCCGACAGAATGATGCAGATTTTCTCATGCTAGTTACTTTTCTAATTTCTTTGGTGTGGGCTAGCTTATAAGTTTTGTCTCACTCTCTTTCTGGCTGATATCTACCACCACTCAAAATTTTCTCAATTTTTTGGTCTTCTAATGGTAGAACTGAAATATGAATTTTAGGGATATTGTAGAAGAGTAAAACTGGGTCCAACATAGACATTTTTGTTGAAAAATTTCAGCAAATTTTGATATTTTTTTAATTTTCCAGACATTTCACGCAATATTGTGCAAATACTAATAAAATTTTCAAAAAAATGTGTGTCTCCTCAATGATAGAACTAATTATGGAGAACAAATTTCAGGGAGGAGTATTCAGTTTGGAAAAAATCGTATGCATAGTTTAGATGCTAGAGTTGTTTACAGACAACAGACGAATGTTTTTAAAGAAACTTTTTCAGTATCAGTTGACCAAAAACATGTATTTCTATTGAAATCGATTTTCTGCAGCACTACATAACTTTCTCTGTACTATATATGTTATTCTGTATATAAGTACATGTATGAGAAAGTAAAAACTTGTTATTAAAGACCTTCTAAAATGTGGATTCAGAGTATATGTATAGTAATTCATGGCAAGAGAAGTCCACATTTTAAAGTAACAGGTTTCCACAAAAAGCATTTTTTAGCCAAAACTGGAACTTTTTAGATAGAAACTTGATTCTACAATTGGGCATATGTTTCCTGGTGGCAGAATGGAGAATTAGCCAAGTTTTTTACTAATATGTATATAAGACAAATAAAATTCAACAATTAGCTTTCCGTTGAGTGTTGGGTAACTGGGTGAAAATTGCAATTAAACATGCTTTGTCGATTTGTTGGATGTTTAATTTTTAATAAATTATTATTTTCAGGGATACATTACATCATGTTTCTCTCCCTCATTGACACTTTAAAATTTAAGAATTACTTTAAAATTGTGTTATTAAGTAATTATTTTTTTCAATAGTGATAGATCACTTCGTCCAAAATCAAGTTAAAAGTCCAGCAGAAATATTTTTGACGCATCTCAATAACAATATATATTATTTCTATTTACATATGTATATAACATGTATTTACTGTACCTAAGAATGAGATTAGTATCACCTATTGCAATCAGAATACTCTCCACTTACTGCCTAATGTGTATTTGTAACTGAAGCAAGATGAATATGAAGAATGCAATGATGTCAATCTCAAGCAATGACAGTTCTAGGACAGTGAGGTCAATGACTATGATTGCAGATTTCAACAGTTGAATTTCTTTGTGGCTCGAGTGATTCAATTCTTATGTGGCTTCTTGAAGAAATAATCACCAATACAAGAAACTAGGCTGCAATTGCTGGAAGTTACTTGAAAATTCTTATGCTAATTTTATTGCCCAAGACCTTCAATAAGGGATTCACTGAAGATAATCTCACAAATTGTCTGTACACATGACACAAACATTTGCATAAAAATAGATTCTTGAATGCTGTTTTTCAATCATTCTTGTTTCATACGAATCTCTTCAGCAACTCAATATAATTGGTGAGGGCAGTGAGCAATTTCAAAACAAAAATTAAGGAAGCATTTTTTACAAAAAATAGACTTTTCAATCATTGCCCATGAACTTCCAACAAGTATTACTAATACTCATTTTGAAATGAATCACAATTGCAAGTTTTCTAACTCATTGAATACCAGCTAGGTGATGTGAACACCTTCATTTAACACATGCAAGTCTTGAGACTGCAATTTGGATTTGTGGAATTGTTGCAATCAAAGAGCATGTTTGTAAATAAAAATGTCTGCAAAGCAATTTGCTAACTCATTATTCCTAACATCAATGAAAATATGAAATGAACAAAATACATGATAGTAATAACTTTATATTTTACATAGCATTGTAAGAAATGTGCCTTCATATAATACAATTTAAGTCAGTTTTATGGCTTAGAATGCTGCTAAATCAAGTGAACTATTATATCACTTCATTTGTACTTTCTGTGGAAATATGGACAGTCATTTGCACTGCTTCCAATGCCAACCTGCAATATTTAGTATGTGAAGAAAATTCATAAGGGGTCCTCTTCGGTGGCAGCACAATACATAAAAGGAAATCAAAGATGCATTACAAAAATAAGTATCTACACAAGAATAAAATGTAGTACTTAAATAGTCCCATCTGAGCACTCAAAGTTTGATTCATATTTACTTCACTTTTAATGAAGACCTATAAATACACAACAAAATCTAGCGTGCAGAAATGGAAAAACATTGCACAGGACTGCTATGTACAATTTTCTTAAATTGTAGTAATACTTATGAGTATGTGGTATCTTGCAGATGAAATGTAGTCTGTTTGCCACAGTGTGAGCAGTGCAATAATAATAATCCAAGCATAGAATCTCCTGGATTTTTATTTTTATTTCCTACAGAGTAAATATTGTTTTTATGCTATTAAGAGTGACAAAATGGATGAAATGAGATCTACATTAGGTACCTTCATCCTTAGAAACTAGTTGATAATTAAAAATCTTCATCTTAAATAGAAGCAAGTTAAGATACCATACCTCCAAATAAAGTGTATAAAAAATAATACACAAACAAAACATCTCTTGGACTAACTAAGACTAGGGTGGTGGGATGCACAGTAGCTTCGTTAAAACTTGGACAGCTGCCCAAATGAAGGTGATTAAAGGTCATTTACTAAATAACACTCAAAAAATTATAATGAGATGAAGTCTGGCTGATCTACATGGCTCACAGCCTTCAATGGCTCAAAGGCCAACAATTGGTGAGAACTTAATCTAAAATATTTAACAGCCAAGTTAAAAATTCTAATTCTACTGTACATAAAATTTAAACATTAGCGTTTTAATAACATTTTAGATAAAAGTTATGCATTATGAAAACATCAGACCATCTTTAAAATACAAATACTCCAGAAATATAAAGTGATATATTTTTATCATTTTCTCTTAAGTACTGGAAATAAATTGAGTATTGCTTTCCAGAATTTAAGATGAAACCTATAAATACTACTGTTTGCTCTTGTACATCCTTCAGAACACAATAAAATGACTGCTACACATTCACTGACCAAGATGACAGAACATCAAGAGAAGAAAAATCAGTATCAGTTTAGTGACAGCTCTACCAGAGTAAATCTCTACACAAATACAAAAAGAAATGTATATATTTCAAAAGAAAGAGAAAGCAAGATCTTTGTTTTAACAACACCAACTTCTCCTTTCATTTCTTTAGATTAACAGGAGCTGCCGTCCTTGTCTAACTTGAAGTTTCTCAAATGAAAGGCACATTTGGCAGCTCTCAATGGAGACCTAAGGAATCACAATGAATTGTTAGGTCAGCAGAACATTAAGTGAAGAAGAAGAAGAAAAAAAAAACAACATTCAAAACAAATTCTAACTTACCAATCTTTTAGTAGGTCTCATCATCATCTTCCATAGCAAAGTCGTTTGCAAAACCTGAGTCCATGGCATAAATTGGACTAAAGAAGAAATCTTGTTAATAAAAGCAAACTATTGTATCGCATGATAAATAATGTTTTAATATGCTTACTTTACAGCACGGCAGGTGAAGAACACAATGCGCTTCAGTTTCTTATTGTAGAAGAAATAATTGAATGACCAGAGGCATCCATCTTCACCATAAGGATCAGAAACCAGATCTGGATTGTAACTGAAACAGAATTCCGTTTTCACATCAGATGTACATTAAAATTACTTTCTTTCCATATATTCAATAAGAAAAGAAATGTGAACATTGTAAACATGTATATACAAATAGAAGAAAATTCAGAAAAATTAATGATTTTTGGAGAGGAATATTCAAAGAATGAATTTTCTGATGGGAAGTTGAGAAATCCTTAGAAAGGTTCTTAAGAAGCATGGTCATTTGCTTTAGACTAGTTTTCTTTTTGAAATAACAAGAAAACACACTGACAGTTCTTAGATCTCAGGGGAAAATAAAAGCTTTGCTAATATGTGGAGCAACTGAATAAAATGTATTAACTCCATTAGAGTTTGGGGCAGGAATATGATAACTAAAAATGTTAATCTTTACATTAGTGGGGCCATTCCACTTGGTGGTACTTGCATATTCAGGATAGCCCTAGTGAAGTGATGATCAACCTTTTTGATTTTCTAAAACAGCAGTGATTATTTGTTTGTTAATTTGTAAATACCTGTAAATGTCACAATCTACCATGGAAATTTCTTCATCAATGGCAGACCAAAGCTGAGTTTGCAACGCAGGATAATGTTCTCCTGCAGTGGCATTCAAGTTACTATCCACTGCGTTCGTCACCCACTGCAACAATGGGTATAATTATGAAAAGATACTTTAAAATAGCAATTGGAATTATATTATTAATGAAAATGAAATTCTTACCTGCAAGCTAGGCTCTTTGCTGAATTCATGACTTTTGGCATTTGAAAAATCATAATCGGGATAAAACGCAGCATTGAGAGTAGCAATGAGGTAGAACAATGTTTTGCGACTTATTGTATCACAAAGAGGACCATCTTCATCACCAGAGATGCTGCGGCTACAATGAAAAATGAGCTTAAGAAAACAATAAAGAATTTGGAGTAATGCATTACATAAATAAGAAAATTTACCTGTACTGGCTTGGTGAAATCCCCATTGCTGTTTGTGGAGGTGAAAGAGCTTGCAAGTCATGTGGAGTAACTCCCTGAGCAGAGTTGAATCTTTTGTACAGCTGTTTTGCATCACCAGCCATTTTACAGGAGTAGCTTTCAATTCTGCAGCAAAAGTATATTTTTATGAGAGTGAGCCTTGTTTATTGAAAGACTTGCCAATGGATAAGAAAAACAACAGAAATGTTTTATTTTCCTATCAAGACCGGAACAACAAACATTAAAACAAGAATTTGTTATAGTAAATACTACGAATTAGAGGGGACTGATCCATTGAAGTGAATTTGAAGCCTACTCTATAAGGTTTAATAAAATTAAATATTATGGTTTTTGTGAGTTTCTTCCCCACTTACCCCAAACTAGTTTCTTCTTATTAAAAAACTGCATTAAAATTACTAACAAAATTGTTAACCCATTTTAATATAAAGTTCTTTGAAACTAACCCAAATGGACAAAGCATACTTCTTAAATTTTGGATTACTGCGAAAGTCATAACAAATAAATTTCTTTAACACCTGACGGTCTTTCTACTTCACTAACAATTTCTTATAACGAATTGGAAACCATACCTATCATTAGATATATTACTAATTTCTATGCGAGCAGAAACTGGAAAGGAAAGATACAGCCTTTGATCATATGAGAAGTGTCTATGGTACACAGACTGACAAAAGCAAATATTTGATTATGTTACTCTGCCTATTCACATACTGTGCGCTCTGACAATTCTTATACGCAGTGCTTCACTGTTTACAAAACAGTGAAGTACAGTAGCCATGCCAGAAGGTTTCCAAGGAAGAGGCTGCCCACCATTATACTTCGATTTATTTGCAGAGTCCATTGATGTTTGATCACCTGATACAGTGTCATCCAACTGGGAGCTTAAATGCCACTATTGTAGGTGTCATCAAAGCTCCTGATTGGATGACCCCTTAACAGATGATATACGTCAATGGACTTGTTTGTTTAAATCAAAGTATAAATAACTGCTATTCACATGTTGGTTTATCGAACATCAACTTTTTATATTATTGGTATATAAAGAACTATTGCACTGAATGCATACTAATCTACGTAACTGTAGTATTCATGAACTCTGTTAAAATTTTTAATTTAGTGCAGTATTATACGAATTATTTTTTGTTTTTTGAACTTCAGCAATATGCAAGCTCTTTTCAGCATTTTGTGTGTTTTTTTTTTGTTGTTTTTTGCAGCAGAATTTTTACTGCTGTTGACCACTGGTTATTTACTTAAACATTAATTTTTTCAGCTGACTTCTTCACCTTTCACATTTCATACTTTCGTCTTCACATTTTTTAATATCTTGAATATCATAAATATCCTTCTAAGTGGTATTATCATTCATTTTAACAGAAAATGACAACATTAAGTACAGAATTAAAATTTTATAGAAATATTTACAACTTTACAGTAATGTCACAAGAATTATCATTTTTTCCTCATATTTTAATTCGCTGACAGGAGTCTTCTTAAGAATGCAATCCCATCGTAATTATCAAAAACAGGTATTCAAACTTGAATATCATTCAGTCTTGCAAGAAAATTCTTCTTGCATATCCAGAATCATTTTACAAAGGGATATAAACAGTGTCCTCCAGAAGGAATTAAAAATAATAATTTTGCCTACCCCTTAAAAATGTATGGTGTAAAACTATAGAATTTCTGAAAATTATTATTGAAAGCAAAATATTCACAAATGTCACATGGTCTTTTCAGTCATTAGTGGTAAAACAAAACTGATAACTATACTGTCAGAACACTTTTTTAACAAGCTCCAGTTTGATTCAAATTATTTCTTACCCAACTTTTCCAAGGATTATTATTCTAATTAATACCAGGGAAAATTAATTACGAGCTATGTCAAGTTTTTCGTTTAAAAAGTAATATTGATGTTCCAAAATTAGTAAATACCGTACCTGCCGACAATTTTGCTGTCACCAGAATCTATGACAAGTGCTCTGTTAATTTCTTCAAATCGGGTACTTTCCAACAACTTCATTTTTTTCTCGTTTTATGTCTGGTAACAAATAAAAATTAACACAAACGAGACTTATTGATTAAACCGGACCACAAAAATCGAGGATGTGGTCAAGAAAAGCTCTTTGACGTAGATGCTTTTTGTTTATCAATAAGGGTGAAGAAAACACTTAGGATCCTTTAAAAACCTAAATGACCACTTCAATTTAATTTAAAAGCACTTAAGACCCCTTTTGTGGCCGGAAAGTTTTTGAACATTTTACTTGGATGTTTGAAATATCCTTTTCGTCGCGAATTGACAGTATTAAAAGCAGGAAGCATTCGCGATATTTCTTGTTCGATGCCTTCTTGAATTGTCGCGAATGAGTGCATCACAAAATAAAATGAGTAATCGATGATTCCTTCACAGTTATTAAAGTCTGTTGTCACTTTGATGTTTACAAACAGTCAGCACTTTAATCGCGACCCAAAGGATAATCCAATATCCTTGAAGGTCAACTCCCGTTATCCTTAACAGTCTTTCACCGAGATTGCAACTCTCACAAAAGCGAACGATCGGAAATGTCACGCATCATTACAACGGTCACAATCTTCTTTAATAACAATAATAAAACAAAATCTTCCACCGTTTTGACAACACAACTGTGCAATGGCGGTGACGCGCTAATGGCTGCCACTGGGAGGCTTGGAAAGTCTACCTCAACTGTGACCACACAAAGGACACCAATGACAAGAATGGCAACCAAAGAGAAAGGAGAGAAGTGCTCCCAAATGTCAAATTAAAAATTTAATTTGTTGATCTTTCGAACAAACGAGTGCATTGTTCTCTACAAAATATCCATTTTGTTTCATATATTTTCTTTTCCATTTAATTTACTACTTTAAATTGCCAGAAAGCTAATGCACCAATTTGGGGCGTGTCATCCAATGAGAGATGTGGTGGGGGGACAATAAGCGCGCGCATTTTAAAAGTGACGTTTTAAGTCGCAGATTTGTTGTTATGAAGATAATGCAAGGAATAATTTATTTAAAATCTTTTTGAGAATTAAAATTGTGATTATTATTCTGTATTATTAGTCTCTGAAATGCTTTACAACAAAAGAAAGTGTCATACATCATAAAATGTTAATAATAAATAATTATATAATAAAATAATAATAAAATAAATAATTATTCGATGGTCAGATCCGTCACGTCAGATAAGTAACTTCCTCACCACAATGTAAGACACTAAATGGATAGATATAAATGTAGCTTCACTATGCGCACGTTTTGTTGAACTCTCCTTTTGCTTGTAATGGTAAGAGTAGAGGTAAGGGCGAATTGCTATTTTGTTAGCAATGCAGAAAAATCATACTAGCAATGCGTGTACCGATGCAAATAAGTTTTCTATAACTCAGAAACGAAAATGACTATTTTTCAAATATTGATAATCTTGCTATTTTAAAAACTTATTTATTTTTATTTATGTTACACTTTTTCTCATATTTCAACTATTTATACTTCAAATGACGGGAAGGGATTCTGGAACTCAATAAAACATGCGCAGATAATCTTTTCCCCCCTACGTCACATACAGTTTTTACTGTTTTTTTTACTGAATAAATATATTTTGACTGAATAAATCTATAAAAAAATTCTTTCCCCCAAAGATTTCAAATCAGTGTCATATAAAAATTAAAACAAATGTAATTACATTCTTGCAGCTTTAATTTGATGTGATGGATAAGCAGAAATTGTAATCAGAAATTGGGATAGGTGCCTATCAATTACACTTTTCATATTACTGCCATTTTGTACCTTTTGTTTACATCATTTGCTTTTATTAAATTTAAGAACTAGTAGGCCTTTTAATATTCTGAAAATCTCAAACATTTCGTTTCAGAAGGTTTTAGAAACTCTTTGAAATGTATTTCAGGTTTGCTCAGAATGAGTAGTATTAAAAATGAAAAATGTTTCCCATGTTGCTGTAATTTGTTTTATATTTTGTGGCAAATAATGCCGGATTATAGAATAAAACGTTGCGACGTTAGAAAATTTACGAGTGCGCCTCTCGCTTTTCCCTCAGTATACTTGAATTTGAAATACGCTAAGAAAAAACGACGATTTTTTTACCATTGACAAGAAACCATCGATACAAAACTTCGTAAGTTTCCTACTGCTGGCTAGAGAATTGCCCCAGTCGAGGCAAAAAGAGAGTCGAAGCTTTCCATTAAAATCGTATCAGTTTTGTAAATGTATGACGAAAAAACCGCAAGCAGACGGAGTTTTCTAGTCACGGTGAAGAGAAATTGTCATGTTCAACACATGTCTTTCTTACTCCCCTAGCGTAGGAATTAAAATAGGCCCAGGCATGGGTGCATCGTTAATTCGCCGGCAAAGTCGGACAGTCGCCCCAAAATGCCATATACACGCCACCTTTTAGAATATGACGCGATACGTTGGGATTCGCACAGAATTTCGCACCAAGAAAATTTGAAACCGACGACCATTAAAATTTACTTTCAAAGGTTCTAGGAATAAAGGATTATGGGAGCATTGTGAGTCATACAAAGGTGGGTAAAGTCACGACTAAATTCACAAGCTATCCAACTTGAAATGACGTTCATCGACCATTAGGAAAATCTACATACATCCGCAGAGAGGATCTAATGAATCAAATTCAGAAACGTTACAGAAAACAGTGGGCAAACTGTTAGAGATAGTTAAATATGCACACATGCTGTGTTACATTACATAACTTTAAAATACTAGGCAATTTTTCATTTTGTTAAAACTATTCATCTTAATCTATATTATTTTTGTTTTTGCGAATCGCCCATCATGGGACCAAGCGATACGTGCATTCAACCAGGGCTGAGACTTGATTATCGGGGTAAGTGCTCGGTACTTTCTCTACAAGGGAATCAGCATCTTTTTACTGCTGGCTCCATTTTTATTCCCAAGGGTTGTTAGCCATCGGAGATGAGGTGAAATTATGATGATGAATCATAAAATAGACACACACACAAACATATAGAGGCACAACACAACCATGCCTCAGGTAGGACTCGAACCCGCAATCTTCTGGTCCTATTATTATTATTATTATTATTATTATTATTATTATTATTACAACTACTACTATTACTATTACATGAAACGTGTTTTGAGAGGAGTGAAACATTTGTAAGAGAATTAGAGTTCAGTGTAACGAGGTGTAAGTGGGGTAACGAGGATGCTTACGCAGTAAAATTATACATTATTTGTAAAATTCGTTACTATAGGCTAATGAAGATTTACTTAAAGTAAAACTAAAGTATTTTTCCACTAAGTCTCCATACTTATTTGCAGATTTAAGTGTAAATCTAATCTGACGTAATCTAATTTAATTATGATAAAGTTAAGCAATAGGCGCGCATACAATCCGCAGCACACGTTGCGATAGTACATAAATGGATGCGTCTAGGACCTTAAATCAAGATTTTCCAGTCCCCGTGGCAAAAGAGGTATATTTCTCATGCTGTAATCTTATAGATTCTACGTCTTTTTTTAATTAAAAAAATGCAATAAGATTCAAATAATGAGGTTAAAAGAATTTCAAAATGTAATTTTCGTTTAATTTTGAGTGAAAACGTGGCAATTTCTATAACATAAGGAAACAATTTTTTGCATCTACTACTTTAATTTTTTCTTGAAATTGTTTGCTTGAATAGAGCAAAAAATTATTAATATGTCACAGGTTCTATTTTGAGTTATGTAACGCTGTAGCTAATAACGACGATGTTTCGGCTTCGGGGGGGGGGAGGGGAGGGGGGCTGAATTCCCATACACGTCTTCTCCTGCTGGGTGCGCCGTATTACGCATAATACAAGAAAGTGTGTTGTTGTTGAGGCACCACCATTTTTTTAATTATCAATTATCAGTTTAGCTGGGTCTGTTTTGATCAAGAGCAGCATTTTGATCGTCCATAGGTCGGGTCGCCGCAGTCAGTTTGAGCTCCGTCCACTGAAAGACAGTGTTCATGCAGTACATGGAGGAGCAATGTGTCATGTGTAACGTATTAGCCAGCGTGCCTCATGGCATCTATTTGGGGACGCTTGGTTGCGGATTAGTCTCGCCACAGGAAGAAGGTTTTTCCGTAAAGGAAGAACGCGGAGACGGGAGACACAAGGCTTTGGGAGTTCCGGCTTATAGAAGCTTTTCACTGTTATAACAACGAGGGGTGGCGTGACGAGTCCGTGGCCTCGCCTATATAACAGAGTGACGGAGCCAGTAGGCAGGTTCTGGAGACGGTGGGAGAACCTCGTGCGTGTGCACAAAACTTGGCGCCAAGACGGTGCATATGCGAGCCAGGCTCGCGAGCTGGAGTCATGTAGTTGACGAAGCCTGCGACTTATGTCCTTGGGTGACTGCGTCACGGGGGAGCGATGCTGTGTGCGTGCTCCGAGGTGAGAGTGGTTGAGTGCCACGATTCACGCCGTTCTCAATCGATAAGATCGCTCCTGCGATCGAGAGCAAACCAGCCGTTGGTGCGCCAGAACGAATTTGTGTCTCAGCGTGACATCCCGTCACGAAGCTAGCCTTTGTGCGCGCTTCAAAAGTAGAGTGGCGAATGCCACAATCAAAACCATCTTCAATCGGGTTTTGGATCGCTCCCGCGATCAGGGGGAGATTAGGTCTATCAGAGGCTAGGGTTTAAGTAGATTATTAAGTGTATATATTTGGTGTGTTTTCTTGTTAATAAATATTATGTTTACCGAAAGTTCTGTGTCTGTGGTCGCTGTGAGTATCCATGACGTCACACATGTCTCAGAACGCAAAATCTAGGACGCTAAGTGCTGATGAAGTAAAAAATAATCATCAATGTCAAAGATAAGCACATTGAATTTTCCAACTTGTTTGAAAGGTTAGTTCTAGACATTTTTGAATTTATAATAAATTATGCTTCTTATTTTAATTTTTATTATTTGAATATTGTACATTTCTTTTTTTACTTATAGTATGGCAGTAGACATAGTTTGGCATTGATTCACTCGTTTATTTGGAGTATCGTGAAATAAATATGTTGTTCTCTCAACATTTTGAAATGTCGGGGAGGGTCTTGCCTCTGCACTTGCTCTTCCAACCATTCCAGGCCAAAAATTTATGACGAGCATAAATTTTCTTCGCACACCTACTGTCGTCAGAAATGTCATCGTTTAGTAAATCTGGAAAGAAAACAAGAAACCATGAAACCACAGGCATTATTCTACAACTTGCTTTATATATCTCCATTGTTATCAAATACCGCAAGTGAACTATCATTGACATGGCCATACTACCCAAAAGGCCACTAGGCACCGAGGGCCTACGAAGGCAAAGGACCTTCGAAAATGAAGGGTCTACGTTGAAATTCTGGAGGTTAATTTTTTTGGGTTTTATTATGAAATAATTCTGTAACGAACAATTTTATACATATGCTGATGTTTAAAAAAAAATAATTAATAAATTATAATTCAGTATTTTTGTTTAATTGTTCAATTGTCTCAACTTGTTAATTAATCTACAAAAGAACGTTTTCAGAATGTTCTCTAAAAAATAATATAGATTATAAGAAACGCAAATAAAAAGTATTAGAAACAAAACTAATAGTGCTACATAATGGCACACAGTTTTTCACATTAGGGTTCCTTTTTGCGTCTAAAATACTACTATGGCCTATTGCAGAACCTACCGCTCCCCGGGGGTGTAATAAAGAGCGCCTTTATACCTCTTT